ATTTACAACATATTTCCTTTGTTCTTCTTAAAAATATTGTTATAAACTATAACTATCACTTTTAACGGAATACACATTACCTTCAAGCATCAAAGATGATGGTTAAAGTTGTTGAAAACTTTAATTGTGAAAATTTTATTTACCCCTCGTTTTGATTGATTGATTGTATGTTGTTTTACGTCCCATTCGAGAATTTTCCACTCGATCATATAGAGACGTCACCATATACCGATGAAGGGCTTCAAATTTTGACTTTTACTCGGTACTCTGGGCCATTGAGCAGTGAGGGTTCTTTATCGTGCCAACGCCTACTGTAGGTTTTTAAGGTCTGATCCGAAGGACCTGCAACTTTCACTTCGAAGTGCTGAGCGCTTGGCGAAGGAACAGTTGCTACCTATTTTTTATCGACTTACGTCAGTCGCGGCCGTGATTCGAACACACGACCTTAAGATCACGGAGCGAGCGCTCTACCGACTGAGCTACCGTGACGGTCCCTTCGTTTTGAAAAAAAAATGTTAAATATCAGAAATTGTAAAGTATGCACATTGCACATTGTTGCAAGCAAGAAACTACTTGTGTATTCTAACTTTGGAATTTATTTGATTGTCATCTGGCTATTCAATATACTTGCTAAACCAGAGCCAAAGCAGTAGGACTGTAAGTTTGTTTTCTTTCTTCTTTTTTATTTTTTCAAAGAAGACAAGGATGCCTCAGACCAAGACTTTGTTTCTTGATTTGCTCTCGTCTGCTGTTGGATTAGCTTTCTGTTTCGTTTCCATTGTAACTCTTGGATTTATAGTAGATGAGGTAATTCAAATCTCATTTTAAACGATCAAGAAGGTGATCTTTTTCTCATTTTTGTTTCATTGAAAAATAAAGATAGGATGACCCACTTATTTTACAAATCCCCTTTAATACAAGCATTTAATATATTTGACAATATTGTAGGAAAACATGATGAGGAGTATCTTTTATGCCAGGACTTGTGTTTCTGATAAATGCTCGACAAGATCTTACTTAGCTCTTGATGAGGAAAAGAATAACAATGGGGCGCTTCAGCTCTGTAACTGTAACTCTCTCTCTCTCTCTCTCTCTCTCTCTCTCTCTCTCTCTCGTTACTTTTTCTGTAGTTCTTTAAATAATGTGTATATGGTGATTTGATTTACTGCCATTTTTGACAAATCTCAAATTATTGTAAATAACGTAATATAACGTTAGAGGAAATACACCAATATGTACTTCTTATCACACTCTTTTAGAGAGACAAAACAGGCAATAAATATTTAAAAAAAATAATTATACTTTTCTCCAGCAATGGTGGATGTACAGATGGAGAGTCTTCTTGCTGTCGTTCTTGGTGGAGTCGGTTGGTTGATTCTTTTGTGGAATGCCAAGAAGAAAGTGTCATTTCCATCAATATTTGTGACAGGGGGAATATTCCTAATGGTGGCAGGAACAACTCTTCACCTTTTTGTTTTTATAAAACATGGATGCATAAGTAGACTTTTCGTAACTTCTAAGTAGTTTTTGTATTCATACGCCCAACAGATTTTGGTGATTGGGTCTTGTATGTTATATGTGTAGTTATCACTAATCTTGAAATTAGTTAATACTTTTTATTAGGGGAATCAAAGTAAATATAAATATATTTAATTATTGAAACAATAAATGATAAATATTCTTATGTTTTAATTCACAGGGACTTTTGAGTTCGCTGTCCTACTTCGATTTATTGCTATGAATGCTTCTCGAAAAGCAACACAAGGAGAAGACAACTCCAGCTCCATCAGTGTTCCTTACTCTCTTATTTTTGCTGGCTTTGGGATTGTATGTATTCTTTTTGCTGTGGTAAGAATTTTTATTCGCTATAATAGAAACCAAGGAACCACCGAGATCGATAAACAGAAGATAAATAAACCGCAGGACAGTACCGCCGAAAACAGGATGTAAAGTTCAAGGACATTGTGCAAAATGATAGAGTCATACACCTGTTATAACAAGAAGTTGTCAATTAATAGCTAATGGATGTTGTGCATGTATTTTACTGTATCAATATTTTTTTCATATAAAATCATCTAATGTACTTGAATGTCGTTCTCTGTAACTTCAGAACTAAGTTAGGAAGCAGACTCGCAGGTGAGAGTCCATCATGGATGTAGAAAGCATAAAGTTGTCTCCTATTTTAATGTCCCCGTAATCGAAGATTCGGGGGTATATCGGGGGTATATAGTTTATGCCCTGTCCGTCCGTCTGTCTGTCTGTCTGTTTGTCCGCAAAAACCTTAACCTTGCCAATTACGTTTGATTGGTTGGAGAGAAGGCTTTCATATTTCAATTTGTGTTCCTTGTGACAGGACCTTTCTTTGGGTACCAACTATATATATTTGACCTCTTGACCTTGATTTTAGAGTCTGACCCAATTTTACAAAAATTTACCAAACATTAACCTTGGTCAAAACTTTTGAACAGTTGGTGCGAAGGCTTTCATACTTCACATGTGTATTTATTGTGATAAGACCTTTTCTTGGGTATAAATATTTTTGACCTTTTGGCCTTAACCTAAGAGTTTGACCCACTTTTAAAAAACTTTAACCTTGGCCATCATTTTTGAATCACTAGTAATAGGGCTTTCATATTTCACATGTGTATTTCTTGTAACAAGACCTTCCTTTGGATACCAGCAATTTTAATCTCTTGACCTTTGGAGTTTTCACCTACTTTTGAAAAACTTTAACCTTGGCCATAACTTTTGAATAGTTGGTGCTAGGGCTTTTATATTTCACATGTGTTTCTCGTGTGATAAGGTCTTCCCCTGGATACTGTTAATTTTGTACTTTGGACCTTGACCTTGGAGTTTGGCCCACTTTATTTAAAAAACTTTAACCTTGGTCATATATAAATTTTGCTGCTTGGGCTTTCAAATTTCACAGGTACAAATGTATATTTATTGACACAAGTCCTTTCTTTCGGTAACAACTTTTTTTATCTCTATCTTGACCTTGGAGTTTGACTTGCATTTGAGAAACCTTAAAATTTACCATAAGCTGCCATGCAGTCGCATCAATGTTTCAAAAACACATCTTGTTGGGTACATAAAGTTGTTTCATATTTTTCCTCCTTCGTCAATTTTTTATCAGATTTTTATACGTATTTCTGAATTGTTTTGATTAAAATGAATTAAAACAAGGGTGAGCAATGGAATGAAAAATTTCATATTATCAATTGCAACTGGTTCGTTCGGTCGAATTGAAATACATTTTTACATGTATTTAATTTTTATCTATTATTATTTAAACATGTGTATATACATGTGCATATATGTGTCTCAGTGTAATGATTTAGTGGTCTTCCAAAATTGTACAAAATGAAATAAAATTGTAAATTTAAAAATTCACATTTAAAAATGTGATTTAAGATCCCCCCCGTGTTTCGATCTAGTTAAAATATTATAGATGCGAAGTTTTCCACATAAAAGATCACACAGAAAGACACAGATATGTCTTGAATTGTCTTATCCGTCGTGGATAGTTTACCAATTAGCTCTACTGACTTCAAAGTTACGAACAACAATAGGGACATGTCAAATTGAATTTTAAAAATATTTGTATTTGTTATCTACAGTCCGACGTTGCGCGAAATTTATAACAACGTCATGAAAAGGGATATCGTATCAGACACAGATTCAGGAATTTTTTCCAGAGGGGGTCCATCCCAGTCCAAAAATATTTCTACCCCCCCCCCCCCAAAAAAAAACCCACCTAAATTCCTATTCCAAATGCTTTAAACCCAGAAAATTCCTTGACAGGCAAAAAAACAAAACAAAAACAAAAAAACCGTAAAATTCATTTCCCAAACGTGATCAACACCTATTTTGTAAAGATGGTGATGGGGGGAGGGGGTTCCAAAGTCATTTTTTATTTGCTTCAGTATATACTTTTTATAATTGCAAATTCCAGGGGCGTCCGGACCCCCTGACCCACCCACCCCCACCCCTCTAGATCCGCGCATGCGTATTTTCATCAAAGAACAGTGGTTTTCTACTTCTTGTACACAGTGTCTCCAAAATTGTAAATACCGTTAAAAAATCGTATATATACTAATTTGAAATCAATGAACTAAGTATATTCCAACTATTTCAAGTTGTTTGAATAAATATTTTGTCTCTGGCGATCTTTCGACCATATAATTAAAACATAATTTTATTACTGGAGCTGTTCCGTTCGAATGGCCGACGTCGCTTTTTCTGTGAATTTTTGAAACATATTTCTTATAGTTTATATTTCTGAATATTTTTAGTATCTGTATAGTAAGTGTTACTTAATATATCAGAAAATGACGATAGCAGTTTAATCTGTGTTACATTTAATATTTATTAAAATTTGACTTGTTTTATAAAGAAAATTATCATTTAAATCAGAAAACTTTATCTCAAAAATTATGGCATTTTAACCTTGGGCCATGTGCACTATCTGTGACCTTAAAAGATCGCAATTTTTACAAAAATGTAAGTTCAAACAATCAAATCCAAACTATTCTGACTTGAATTTTTACAACACATATATTTGGTATACAATAAGTATCTTTATTTGGACAAAAACGTCATTGTACACGAACTTTGATATGGACAACCCTCGTACATTTTAAAGTTGCTGTAAATTAGTACCTGGATTGCCAAGATCTCTAGGTGTCCAGTCATCAATGATTTAACCTGGACCATTGCATTATTTTAGGCATGTAGATAAATTTGTCCTACTTACGGCACTTTGACACTGCATATTTTAAATCCGCCAATCACATGTGTACCTGACCAGTTAACACATAAATCAGTAAGATAAGGGTATGTGTACTCGTACATGTATCAGAATCAACACCCCTTTTGTTGTTACAAACGTGTCGCGGATAGAAACAGGTATTCTATATTGTTCAGAACGTATTCCAGCATTCACACGAGACCAGGTTCAGTGAGAAGAGTCATACGAAGACCCCTAAATTGTCTACAACAATCCTGCTGATAAAACTGTCCTCATCTTCCAATAATGGATCTTTCTAAGGTCGACTTCGGTGCAGCTATGAAAAAACAGTGTTTTCATTTTGAGGAGGGGTTTACTTATGTAAATCACGGAGCGTATGGAGAAGTTCCTGTGATAATAAGGGAAAAGCAAAAACAGTAAGCAATTCTACAGTTTATGTGTATGATAGTCAGGGTCAACGTCAAATTTTGCTGCGATTTTCCATTTTCACTGTCTTTTTATATTAACATTTTCTTGATCAAAGATTTTGTTTTACTTAATGATGAATTGTTACTGCCGTCTAACTGTAAAGTGAAACGGGAAGAGAAATCTCAATTGTAATTAAATGAATTATGATTAACTAAGCAGTGTTGTCAATCAGATATTGAACAAATTTTCTCGCAAATATATTAGACTGTTGATTACATTATAGGCTGTTGATTACATTATAGACTTATGATTACATTACAGACTTTTGGTTAAATTATAGACTTTTGATTATAGGCTGTTGATTACATTATAGACTTATGATTACATTACAGGCAATTGATTACATTATTAGACTGTTGATTACATTATAGAATGTTGATTACATTACAGGCTGTTGATTACTTATTAGACTGTAGATTATATTACAGTTAGTTGATTAATTTATAGACTGTTGATTACATTACAGACTGTTTTTTATGACGCGCCATTTTTATATTTTTGAGGTATTTTATGATATCAAAAAAAAAAAAAAATTCTTGATATCAATAATTCGAATTCTTGATATCAAAAAATATTTCTTGATATCAAAAAATAATTCTTGATATCAAGAATTCGATTTCTTGATATCAAAAAATCATTTTCTGATATCAAGAAATTGAATTGTGAACCCATACTTCTTTGAAAACAATCTTGGGGAGAATTAATTATCCGTATGAGCTTCAACACTGTTATTTGTTGAATTTCTGATATCAAAAAATTAATTTTGTGAAAAAAATTGAATTTTTGATATTACAAAATGATTTTTTGATATCAGAAATTCGAATTTATTTTTGATATCAAAAAATGATTTTTTGATATCAGAAATTCGAATTTTTGATATCAAAAAATCTCGTTTATTTTTTATATCAAAAAATATATTTTCTGATATCAGAAAATGATTTTTTTGATATAAAAAATTCCAATTTCTGATATTAAAAAATTATTTTGTGATATCAGAAAATACCTTAAAAATATTAAAACGGTGCCTCATTGTTTTACATTATAGACTGTTGATTACATTACAGACTGTTGATTACATTATAGACTGTTGATTACTTTACAGACTGTTGATTACATTATAGACTGCTGTTTACATTATAGGCTGTTGATTACATTTTATTTTCCCTCGGATTAAAATGTCGCACATTCACTGTTTTAAACGCAACGAGTGACTGCATGTGTAAAGATGAATAATAAATTCCGTAGAAAAATTACTGGGGGTAAAACGACCCCCCTAGCCGAAGAAAAATGTAAGATTTTTTTGTAAAAAAAAACCCTATGAGTCAGTTTTCTACATGTGCAACCTATATAAGAAATTGACCCCCGTTGAAAAATTACCCCCATCCCAACAGATTGATACAAAGATTGATATCGAGGTTTGGGTCTCAACGGGTATTTTTCTTGATTATTTTTCTGATTAACACTAAACAAACACCCAATCAAAATTTATCTAACAACATTACATGTTTTCTTTTTATTAGACCTATAGTGCTGTGCTCTTAGCACACAATTAAAATTCAAAATCATAATTATTAATTATCAATAGTTACTTCCATTCATATGTCAACTTGATATATCCCAGTCTGTCACATCTGTTTCATATTTGGATGTTTTATTGACGATATAGGCCGTTGATTACATTATAGGATGTTGATAACATTATAGGATGTTGATTGTATTACAGCCTGTTGAATCCAATTTTGTAAAAAATATGTGCCAGTGACTGTTCCAAGCGTTTGACTTAGCATGACAATACCTACATTTATAATTTCTCATTAACATGTAGCTAGCGTCAAAGAAAAATAATAACATTACCAAATCCAAATGTAACATGCACAGGTCTATACATATTTTATACATAAAAAGACAAACCATCCAAATGAGGACAAATGTATGTTTTGAACAGAAAAGAAGCTTCACTTAAGAGTGTTTATACTTTAATCAACTGTTATATAATATAATAAATTGTTTTTTAAAAAAAGTCAAAAATTAAAACAATATATGTTTAACAACTATGCTTAGATTACTGGATACCCAGAACGATAATACAGGAATGTTCTTCCGGGATGAAACCCCGCGATTATACAGGAAGGCAATAGAAGCAGCAGCCCAATTTCTGAGGGCGGATCCAGGAAATCTGGTTCTTGTACAAAATGCCACAACAGATAAGAACCATTATTATACATATTTATTCAATTGTAAGTTATAAGAATAAATATAAATTTATGTATACATCAATTAAAACCTTTCATCTGCAGGAGTGAACTCTGTCTTGAAAGCGTTCCCATGGACGAAAACTGATGAGATTTTGGCTACTGTATATACATACAAAGCAGTTGAATACGCTTGTCGGAAGGTAGCCGAGTTTTCGACAGGTATGTTCATCATATATTGAATGCTGCATATACTAGTATTTAAATTACTAGTATTTTGATAGTCTCTTATTTCATTTTTCCCATTTTCGACACTCAGGAGGACATATTCATCAGTTCGACATACGCTTCCCTATTAGAGATGAAATGGAGGTGGTTAAAAGTATGACGTCATATCTGGCCGAACATCCCAAAATCAAACTTGTAGTGTTAGGTATGATGTAAAACATTATAATGGTATTATATACATAATCAAAGGCTTCTGGTATACTTTCAAGATGACAGTACATTATATATATTATACTTATATATGAAATAATGAAAATATTCTATTTGTTTGTTAGCAATTTGAGGCATTTCTTTTCAGATAACATCACCAGTCCAACGGCACTAAAGTTACCGTTGAAAGAAATGATTTCAGAATGCAGAAAGAGAAGCGTTATGGTTTTAATTGACGGCGCTCATGCACCAGGCCAAGTAGAGATCAACCTTGAAGAACTCAGTCCTGATTTTTACGTAGGAAACTTCCATAAGTGGGTGTATACTCCAAGAGGATGTGCGTTTCTCTGGATTCATAAGGATCATCAGGATTGGTGCACTCCTCTTGTGACGTCACATATGTACAAAAAGGGTTTTCAGAAGGAATTTTGTACACAGGGAACACGTGACGACATTCCGTATTTTTTGTTACCAGAGTCTATAAAGTTTTATCATGATGTGGGAGGGAGGGTAAGTTATGGGTTTTTGTGAATGTCGAAAACTTTCTAACCATTATTGCTGAATTAATTGAATGACAGAGGTGTAATTAATGGATATTATAAACTCCATTGAAGTCTGTCAAACAAGGTATTTCGGTAGTGCTATCTTGCGCACAGGCGTCTGAAGTGTGGATCGATAGCCCCCCCCCTTTTTTTAATAAAAAAAATTTAAGAGCTTATAATTTCTCAATAATATAAAAATTTCCCCATCAATCACATCCATATGTCGTTCTTTGCAAGCAGATTGTACCTTTTCTTACGTTTAGAGAATGGCCTTGTTCGGTATAATAAAAATACACAAGGTAAAAAACAAAATTTGTAAACAAACGGGTGGGGGGGATCCCTGTTTCGAGACATATTTCCAAGGTAATATTGGTCAAAGATTTAAATGTATCACTGTTAACCAATCAGATAAAGCGAGACGGATGTGCGAACTCCAAAACCTCCTTCAAAGCTGTCAATGGAGAAAATTGTATGTGTCCGATTAATAAATCGTCCGATTAGGACACATAAAACACTAATGATGGGGTTTAGGTTAAAGAGATTAGTAGAAGAACATCTCCTTGACAGAGTGCTTGTAAAATTATGATAGGTAACACTGTTATTACCTTGGAAATATGTCTCGAAGCAGGGAACCCCCCGTTTCTTACTTTGTGTATTTTTATTATACCGTATAAGACCATTCTCTAAATAAGAAAAGGTACAATCTGCTTGCATAGAACGACATATGGATGTGATTATATTATTGAAAAATTATAAGCTTTTACCTTTTTTTATTGAAAAGGGGGGGGGGGCTATCGATCCACACTTCAGGAGCCTGTGATCTTGCGCACATAAAGTGTCAAATCTCCTGGATTTCTTCAAATACTAGTATACTTGTCTAGGAAAAGATTAACAACTACACGAGAAACCTCTTGGATAAAGCCAGTGAGTTGATAGCAGAGAGACTAGGTACAGAGGTGCTGCAGATCCCGAAGTCAATGGAAGCTCCCGGAATGAGACTTGTATTGTTACCGGAATGTGAAGGCTATGATAAAACTTGGGTAAGAAAAAAAAATATTTGCTAAAGTTGGTAATAAAATATTGATACACATGTAGTCTTGTCAATCTAAAATTAAAAATTCATTTTTTAGAAAGGTTCAGAAAATCTTTACATGGATATCATGAAGAAACACAAAATCAACTGTGCAGTTTACCCTGTTCAGGGTGAGCTTTACTTGAGACTTTCCGCCAATATTTACAATGAGATTAGTGATTACGAGAAACTAACGGATATTCTACTTCAGTTATCCAGGAAAAGCTAGAGCTTCTTGTCCTCCAGACCGTTCTAGTATTTTACTTCCTATTGTCGTTCTGATATTATTTTGCAGTTTTTCTATCATCCTTTTTTCCATTCATTCTGTATTATCATCTTGCCTTATGATTATATAAAAAAAATTCAGTTTTAGTTTTTGTTTTTAATCAGCATAATTTTTTTTGGAAATAAATGATTAATTTTTTAATAATTAAGCAGTTGTCTTCCATTTTGTATTGTATAACAGAAATATATATATATATATATATATATATATATATATATATATATATATATATATATATATATATATATATATATATATGATTTATTTTTCAATTTTTAAAAATGTTTATCAACTAAGTCGGGCGGTGAGTGGATATATATATAAACTGGTGAGGAAATTGCTGAACCTTATCTGTTTGTTCATTTGTTTGACCGGGTGAAAGGCAAGATAGTACCAGCCACTTCAATGGTTTTGTGGAAGTTATTTTAATGCACATTGATTTCAGACGTTTTGACAAAATCGTACCCAACGATCTTACTTACTTTACCAACGATCTTATCTTACTTTGATAAACAAGCATACCTGTATTACACATCGAAGATGCGTCCTCAGTTCTGTAACGTTTAATAAGTGATGTTTTTGACGATTCCTCTTCGGACTCTATGCGTTGTGTTTACAAAAAGTAGAGCCTGTGATATTTTGATAACTTCAGGAGACAAAGTTTTCACACTGAAACTTGTGAAAATCTGAGTTGTAAATTTTCAAAAGTTGTCTATAGAATAAAAAAAAATTATTAAATGCAGTCGTCGTCATATTACATATATGGACTTATTTATGTAGGAGAAACAAAGGGTTCACTCAACAAGAGAATATCGGGACATAGAAAACGATGGGAGGCCATCAACACCTTAATAAACATATCAAAAACATTATTTACCCGACCATTTTTTAGCCCACCTGAGCCGAAGGCGTCCGTCTGTCGTCTGAGCCGTCCGGCGTCCGTCTGTCGTCTGTAAACGTTCCACATTTTCGACTTCTTCTCAAGAACCACTGGGCCAAATCCAACCACAATTGCCACAAAGCATCCTTGGGTGAAGGGGTCGAAGTTTTACATAGAAATATATAGGAAATGTCTTTAAAAACCTTTTTCTCCAGAACAGCTTAGCCATTATTAGTCATATTAATATAGAAGTATCCTCAGGTAGTGTAGATTCAAGTTTGTTCAAATCATGATCCCTAAGGGTTGGGCGCAGACACAACAGGGGCCAAATTAGTCTTAAATAGGAATATATAGGAAATATCTTTAAAAGTTTTCTTTTCAAGAACAGCTAAGCCATTATTAGTCATTTTAGTTCAGAAGTATCCTCAGGTAGTGTAGATTCAAGTTTGTTCAAATCATGACCCCTGGGGGTAGGGCGGGGCCACAACAGTGGGTCAAAGTTTTACATAGGAATATATAGGTGTAATGGTTAAGGGGCATTTGAGTAAAACGTATTGAAGATTTCTGGCAACCCTTGGTATTGACTATAGTCTGTCCCACGGTACCAAGGACCTCACTTTTCGCATCATATCTATATTTCAATTAAGGAATGTTTTTAAGTTTTGTGTGAGTTATTGGTGTGTAAATCACACAGACTTGTCATGTAGGCATATTTCATGAAGCGCGCTAGCGCTTCATGAAAAATATGCCTACGTGCAAGTCTGTGTGATTTACACACCAATAATTCACACTAAACTTAAAAACATTCCTTATATTTACATTTTACATGTTTAAATGCACCAAATTTATACTCAATGTTTGAATTTCTCCCTGCCCTATATCGTCATTTTTTATTAACGTCTCTGTAGCCTCATTGTGACGTCACTTTAGGGCGAGTTTCTCCGTGTATATTTCTACGCGTGAGTATGTATACACAAAAATGGTTTTCAAATCAATTTCACAGTAGGCTTAGTAGAAAAACACAGCAAATGTAAATATTTTAGACTGAGTCATTGAGTCTAATGCTGACTGACGTTTTTCATACCAATTGTTAGCCTAAGGTCATTATTTACACACTGAATTGTCGACGGATTTTTCCGTTATTCCCCGATCATGACAAGGAGCACACAGCGGGTGTGACTGGTCGACAGGGGATGCTCACTCCTCCATGGCATCTGATCCCATCTCTGATGTTTTGGAGGTCCGTGTTTGTACTGCTCCTGTTTTGTATTGTTTAATGGACTTTTGAGCTTGAATACTGTACGTTATCTCCATATATTTCATCTTAAAATGTATAAATACCTTGACCTTCAATCTATAGACAAAGGCTATATAGGACAAAGTTTTAGGAAAGTCAGGCATTCATAAGCTAGCTGAATAAGTTGGTCGTTGAATCGACAATAGAGAAGTTAAGGGTAAGAGCAAAATAAAAGTATATAAGCACCAGTGACAAGTATCTTAGGGAATTGATGTTAAGTGCTGGGTGTAGTAAATCTGAAGAAGATTGAGAAACCCTGTCCTTATCTATCAGTAGGAACCTAGGGGATAAAAACGGTGCAAGTAATACCTTACCCAGTCCACGTCTCTAGATAAGAGAAAAATTTAAGTACTGTGTGATGTACCTCAGACAGAGCGGTCTTCATAATAATTCCAATCATTAACTCAGACAAAGTAAAAGGAAAACCTATATATCCCTTCTAAGAACCTATCATACACCTTACATAGGAAATATCTTTTAAAAATCTCTTCTCAAGAACAACTGAGCCATTATTGGTCGTATATATACAGAAGCAACGGTTACCTTAGGTATCGTAGAATCAAGTTTGTTCAAATTATATGACCCCCTCCCCCCCCCCCACGGGGTTGGGGGCACAATAGAGGGTCAAAGTTTCAGTTATAATATTAGATTAGTCATATTATTATACACGCATCCTCAAGTAGTGTAGATTCAAATTTGCTCAAATAATGGGTGGGGCTACAATGAGCGATCAGAGTTTCACATGGGAATACATACGGAAAAAGTCTTTAAAATTCTTCTGCTCAAGAGCAGCAAAGCCATGATTAGTTATATTATATAGAAGCATCCTGAGGTAGTGAAAATTTAAGTCCCCCCTCCCCCACGAAAACTTTTCAATACTGAACTGATTTCTGCTTTTTTCTAGCCAATGTGCTCAGGTGAGCAGTGTGGCCCATGTGCCTCTTGTTTTAATTAATTGATGGTAAGAATATCAGAAAGAACTGCCATTCCACAAATAGTCCACCCCCTTTTTTTGTACTGCATTCCGTAGACAACGAGACTTCATGACAGTACACCAAGACATAAAGCGTAGTCTTGGACATTGATCATAATTGATTGGTTTGATTGTTTGTTTCATGCGCGGATCTAGAGGGGGAGGGGGAGGGGTCCGGATCCCCCGCCCCCTTGAATTTGCAGAGGTATTAAAAGTATATAGTGAGGAAATAAAAAATCACTTTGGATCCCCCCCCCTAGAAAACTTGTACCCACCATCACCACTACGAAATAGGAGTTTTTCACGTCTGGGGAATGGATTTTACGTGGGGGGATGTTTTGTTTTGTTTTGTTTTTTGTTTTTTGTTTTTTTTTGTTTGTTTGTTTTTTTGTTTTTTTGTTTTTTTTTTGTTTTGTTTTGTTTTGTTTTGTTTTTTTTTGTTTTTTTTTTGTTTTTTTGCTTGTCAGGTAATTTTCTGGATAAGGAAGGGAATTTAGGGGGGGGTGTTTTTTTTTTTTTTTTTTTTTTTTTTTTTTTTTTTTTTTTTTTTTGTTTTGTTTTTTGTTTTGTTTTGGTTTTTTGTTGTTTTTTTTTTTTTGGTTTGTTTGTTTGTTTGTTTTTTGTTTTTTGTTTTTTTTTTTTTTTGGTTGACAAGAAATTTTTGGGTTGGAAATTTTATTTTGACTTGGTGCCCCCCCCCCCCCGTGGAAAAATTCCTGGATCTGCGCCTGTGTTTGTTTGTTGTTTAATGTCCCTCTCGAGAATTTTTCCCTCATATGGAGACGCCACAACTTGCCGGTGGAGAGCTGCAAATTTTGACCTACATGTATGCTCGGCACTTAGGGCCATTGAGCAGTGAGGGATCTTTTTCGTGCCAGCACCTACTGCGACACGGGACCTCGGTTTATATACGGTCTCATCCGAAGGACCGGTCTCCACGTCCCACAATGGGATTGATTGATTAATTTGTATGTTGCTTAACCAATGTTAATCGGTAGTATTTAAGCCTAGCTGCAGATCTGAAAAATTGGGATGGAAGACCAGAAAAGATACAGTACCACCCATTGAAAAAAGTATATATTTATTGTGCACGAAAAACTATTTCTCGATTGATTTCTCCTAAGAAATTACCTTCATCGGCAAAGGGAGAGAAAGTGTAGTTAATTCTTGCCGATCAACGACCATCGATTTTACCTGTTAAAAAAATCATGCTTCCTTACTTTCCGATCGAGGTTCCTGGAGGCGTTTAAAAGAATTTCTGAGACAAGTAGATTGAAATCTTTAGCAGTTTAAATAGTACAAAAATGTCTTTAGATTTTTATATTCTTTTTAAATTTATTTATTTATTTATTTTTTGTTTCAAGAAAGTGATGGCAGGTATCTATTGTGGAAATGATTAAGGAAACCATTTCTCCTGTGATATTGAAATGCTGCATGCTTTTACAAGAAATCTTGTATTTTATATATCTAACGTTATATCAACGTACTTTTTTTTACGATTCATTGATATACGCAGATTTTAATATAATGACTTTTTCCTGTATATTTATACACATGTAACCTTTTTGTAAATGGGGGGTATCCCATCCCTCTATAAATCCGCCATTGCCAGCATATGTACATGTAATACATACACCCTCGCCTTCCGGAAAAGAATACGTGCATGGTTTTCCTTTTAGTCTGTATTTTCACTTTTGGTAGTTTACGCATTTTTGTGTGCATCTACCCCAAAAAGGTGCAGCATGGCAACGGATACTAGGATCCCCACAGGTAACAATGTATTGTTGATAACTGAAATATATTTTGAACCATATGCTCACTGATAATAATCACATACACCAAAGTAAGCTTAAGGGACACGCCCTGGTGGAGAATGTGCAAGTTTGCACTGGTTAATCAGAGTACACACTTCTTCTTCCAAGTAACTGCAAACCTTCTCTGGAGTATTATCGCAGACTTTATTTGCTCCGCATACCCAGCAGAAGCGTGCCGTTAAAATCAAAATATTCACAAGTTAAAAGATAAAAGTGCCCCATATGTACAGTTAAAAACGCAGCACTATTCTAGATGGTATGTGGATTGAGTTGGTGCAGCTGCTCCTTAAGGAGGCTGGGGGGTCAACAAATTAATCACAAATTAACCACCAGATTTAACTTAATTTTTTAGATATGATATCTTAAGCTGTCAACTATCATTTGGCAAAGAAAAATTTCAAAAATTTTAGTTTTAAAATTTGATCATTTTCTAAATCTTCATATGGAGCTCTTCTTCTAAAGGAGATCAATATAGTCTAAAAATGGCCACACACCCCAGCCTCTTTAAATGCCTCCAAAGTTGGAGCATGGACAACGCTGACACTTGAGGGAATGAAAGTCTGAAAAGTTTTAAAATGCAGTTTATTCTGCTAGAGAATTTATAATTAGAAATTAAAAAGCATGTCTGGGAGATGAAATTAATTTTGGGATGATCAATAGCATGATTTTAATAATACCGAATAGTGGTTTTTACATGTAAGAGATCTTGAACAGTTTTAACCATGTTAACTTTACAGTTTAAAGCAATAATTTTGAAATTATTTGATTTTATATTTCTAGTTGCTGCTGAAGAGATTGACCTGACCACGGTCCGTGTTGTTGTAATTGTACCAGAACTCACTCTAAAAACAAAAGTGTTTGGGGCTAAGGAACCCAGCAAAAATTGTAAAGTAGAAGTTAAACCAGAGACAAGGTATTAGGAGTTATCTTTCTTAATTCATTGCGCAGACTGTAGACATTGCACAAGGTCTATGTAAATATTATGTATGTTTGTAGGAGTTTACAGTTCACTGCTGAAATAGAAGAAAAGGGCGGAAAGGTAATCAAGTATGAATATAAAGCCAACAAACTGCCTGGGGACATTGAGCCTAATTGCAAACCAGAGGTAAATTAAAGTATCAATTTCCAAAATTTGTTATTTAACAGCTTAATTTGTAAGGCCTTGTCTTACCAATTAATAGCCATAGGAAAACTAATTTTATTGAATCTATTCTTTAACTCAGATACATGTACAAATCATTTTTATGAATCATAATGGACATGCAATAAATTAATTTATGAGTTGTCATTTCTTCTATTAAAGTCTACTGCTTTTTCCTTTTTCAGTATAAAAAGGGGCAGGTAATTCTTAATTTGAAGAAGAAAGAAGAGAGTTCCTGGGCTGTGCAGCTCTCAAAGTGTGGACTGGATCAGGACCCGGATGCCTAGGCCCAGAGAGGGCAGGGGAGGGTATTCAGTCATGTGCTGCAGGCTTGTTTGTAAACATTCAGTACTTGATCTGATATTTCCAACAGAGATTTAATACAGAAGTACTGTACTTATCAACTGATATGCTGTAGTGAAATATGCACATAGCAATATTTACTTTTGATGCCTTTCATATTTTGCTATAGCTTTGCAACACCTAGAATCACCTTCTTTCATTTAAAGACTTGAATGCTTGAATGTTTTAAGTCCTTTTTATACATCATAAAAAAAATGTTCCTATGTTACCTATGATATATGATGACTTGGGAGGTTGTCATTAGTTAGGAAGAGTTTCAGATACATATATAGGCAAATATTATAAAAGGTTTTTACTTTATGTGATGATAAAACAGCTGACAAAGAAACAAAGATGTAAAAGGACGTGTTTTAGTCACTTTTAGGTTTCCTTGGAAAAATATTTTTTACACTTACTTTATTATTTTTTGAGAAGATTAAATCCATTAATTCTTGTTACATTGTATATATATATAGTTAATATTACTGTTTATCAGTAGATATCCTTTAGTTGTGCAATAATGTTGAAATTAATGTATAAGGTTATACATTTTTATGTTGTATATGAATAAATGTGTTACAGATTCTTTGATTTTCATATAAAAAGCATTTGTATGTTGATAACTTTATATGACTCTTTTTACCCAAAATATAGATCTGTAATAATCTACTAGTTGATACTGCGATCTTTCAAAAATAAAATTCACATTAGTTTCTTGTATCTGATGGTTGTTATTGTCTCTTGTAAATAGTAACTATATAGGTTAAGTTATTTTTTGTTTTACAAAACATGTCGTACATGTTTAAATCTTGATGTATAATATACTCCATCATATTCTATACCAGATTGCTGATTTATGGTGATCATAGTTTGGTTTGAATAATACCCAAGAAATCAAGTGTCCATAGACTTTGCAGGCCAATATATCAACTATATATATTCCATCATATTGTACAGCGGGTTGATGATTCATAGTTTGATTTGAATACCCAATAAATTAATTGTCTAAAATAGACCAATTTATCTAACTATGAAAATTAAAGGTCACGTAGTAAATCATCTTCAAAATTAAACATTTCAGGAATTTCGTTTATCAAGTATACATGACTAAATGGTGTGTACATAATCAATCATATTAAATAGATACCGGCGATTAAGCCTATTTATCAACCTTTCACGGAGAATAAATATGTCCAGTCTTATGTCTCCTCCACAGAGACTCTCCCCTTCATCATTTAGTTGTTAAGCGGTTCCTCTTTGAGTTTAATTTGTTGCTCCACCCCGAATCGGAAGCTACAAGTACCCTCAATAAGCCAGTTCACAGTTCTCTCTTCTATAGTAAACCCAGTCGTGCCTTTCTTTTGCTCGTCTTTCATTATCTGGGAAAAATCACCTTCAAAGGACTGAATAAACGAATTATTGTCTTTTAAATTCGTTAAAGACACAATCACAATTCCCCGAATTTTCACTAACATTTTATACTTGGCACTAAAATCATTTTCCCGCACCACAAGATCCGCCGTCGCGGAATGGTTACCCTTGACCTTAATTGTGCTATTTACAGCCCAGGTCAGGGAATTTTCACATGTATCCTCAAATCCTGTTTGCATATTCACTTCTCTTCCAAATCCCGCTGTAATCTCGGCCACTTCCTCCGGAAGTCCTAGCTTCAGTTCCACATTAAATCCCTTGGTAAATCCTTTCTCTATGCTCGTTGTACTTACACAAGATGTTGTTCTCTCGGTTTGGAAGGAATGCTCTTGTTCGTTCTCTGTGTTGTTGTGATATGTTGATCTGAACACAACTTGAGCTTTGGGAACATCCACCATTACTTTGTCTTCGTACTCCGGCTTCTCCGTGACGAATCGAACACGTGACCAGTTGACGTTCATCTGTACATCCTCCAGACGGAGCTTGCTATTTTCTTTGGAGCGAACCTTCAGGAAATTCGTCCAGGCCCAAGTTTTGACAATGTCCTCAAGATCCAGAACATTTGCCATGTTGCTATTGCTGAAACAGAGTAAATGACACCAAAGAATTTAATAGGATTTTGTGAAAAGTTTATTCAAATAATAAGTGGTAGATTTGAACGAAATACCCTCCCCAACCCGTATACAATCGCCCGTAAATGTTGTAACCTTGAATATGATTCCCACAAAGTAAAGAACATTCCTTTTCTGACAATTTAAGCAACATAAAACAGAAAGTAGAATAAACCATACATATAAGGCTTTACGAACCCACCCCCACCTCACCCACCCCCCTTTTGTTTTGTTTCCGTCTCTTTCTCTAGACCTGCACATTCCCATTTTTTTCCAGACCAGTCCTGAATAGGCTATAGATTTCGTTTGTTCAAGAAATTATAATTTCGTCATGACATTTTTTTTAAAACGTATTTATTTGTTACGATAATTTTTTTTCAAATGAACTTGAAGAAAATTACGACATTTTAATTTTTCAAATGACTACAGTTTATTGACTTTCGATGAAAAAGAAACACACAGTCACAGTTCTCACAAAACTTATATTTGACGAAGGAAAGTGGGACGTAACAACCCAGGGCAATAAAACTCGCTATCCATCGGTCATGCTGTGGGAATTCGCTTTCCCCGTATATGTTAACATATTACAATTAGCATAAAACTGTAATAAAACCGAATTCAGAGAGGGAGAACTTTTGCAATGAGAAAATAATATATGAATCACGACAGTATACGTTGTTCCGCATTTTCAGAAATAAATACTATAATATACATATCTGCCATATAACATATTTTATATCAAATTGTTTACGACGATAATTGATTTTAATTCAAGTACTTTGTTCAAATTCGATTTTTCCTGAATTTTGATTGCTTTGTCACAGGATTTAAATTTCGAGGGGTTGGAGGAAGTTTTTATACACTTTAATGAAAAATAGATATATATGTACATTTGTATTTTTCAATCTTAAGGGAACTAAATGAAAGAAAATGCAAAATAGTTGTTTTATATATAAACATGTATTTCAATTTGCTTTAATATATTAGCAAAAAATCTTCCAATAGATATATACACATTTCAATGAATACGTACAAATAAAAATATTGCAAATTGTATAAGAGTAAATTATTTACCTTGTTTGTTGTTGTTTAAGCCAGTATCAAGTGTTTTTGGAGACTCAGGGAAGTTGTTTGACTGTATAACCCACGACCTCCGGGAACACGCCCTGTAATCACACGTAAAGAGACCTGGGGGATTAGGACAACTTACCGAATCAATATTATTACATTCTGATGAAACTGGCTCCACTCCAAACCAAACTTTTGTTTCTCAGTTACTCTAATCCTATTTCACATTCACATGTTTACTCAGAATATTTCAATATTATTAGTTAATTTGCGGATTCCAATATTTTAATTTCAGAGAGCATTGTTTGCTGATTTTTGTTCTCCTCATTCTTGTTTTATTTTCCTTTTACATATAAAAGTATAGTATATTTTTTATGTAAAAAGGAATTTTGATCATTTATTTGAATTTGTAATTAATTTTTTTTTAAGGAAAATTCGAAAAATAATTGTATTATATTTCAACAGAACACTCTCTGTTTCATCTGCAATTAATTTTTGAATCATGTAATTTATTTATCAATTGATTGGAAGAGGTATTTTGTGGATATTCAGATAAAACACCCAATTTCTAGAAACCCATTTTCGGAATGTCGATGTTTTGTTTGTTTTGTTTTTTTAATTACATAAAAAGCAATCATGTAAAATGAAACGAGAAAAGTGCATTGTAGCTAAAATTCAGCTGAACCAGTTGCTTGAAGATTATCGACCAGGGACGGAAGCTTCACATCAGTCTGCCACGATAAAGACAAACGTGATTTATGGTTGATATCAAACATCCATACTCGGTAAATTTGATAATCTCGACGGTTTTAATGGTGTCGTTGTCGGTGCCAAGGGAATGCAGAACGTTAGTTACAAAAAGCGTTCAGAAGAGGCAGACCACTTAACGTTAAGAGGCAAAAAAATGCTGTCCATAGATCTGAAGAGCATCGTTTCCAAACACTACAGTCTTCAATTTAATGCTGGTACTTGATGCAAGAAATATTCAGCCAAAAAAAAAAAATGAAAACAATAAATAAAGAAAATAGAGAAAGAAAAAACAAGAATTTTAAAAGGTATTGACATGAAATAAGCTAAACCGACACCAAAAGCTTAAGTCAATTAAAGCTACTGTAAGAACAATCTAGTCAGTGTTTATATTTTGGAAGCATTAGTCTGACACCGGGGAGAGGAAAAGCTACTCAAAACTTCATTAGCGTGTTCGTGTAGGACACGTGCATCATGTAATTGATCACAAGCAAATTAGTTTAAGGGTGAAACGTATGTTTAGATACATACATTGTCTGCAGCCTGGCATCAGGAACATATGTTTTTGTTATGAGAAAGGATGCCATCAAATTTTGTTTGTAATTCTAGTCAGCTTTCACATACTAAAGCTTTATATATGTTTACAACCGCCATTTTCTCTCATAAGTATCTAGGCCTAGTTCATTGAAGAGAACAATTTGGTGTATTGTTAACGAGGAAATATGCAAAGTGTCATTTTCCGGGGTTGAATAGTGTACGTACAAAGTTAAACACGGTGAATAATGTTTCTTCCTCATAATTATCTGTTGTCCAGTCGTATATTTCTATAGCGACATTGAATTTAAAAATAATTTTAGAGGTCATTGTTTAAAAAGGGCCTTTCCATGTATATAACAAAACTGGTCGCTTGAAACTATCTTGAACAAATCTAAATGAACTTTGACACCACGAACAATTGATTGCTCCAATGCATTAACAAGAAACTTAAAAAACTACATCGTATATTTATTTTCATGACTGAGATTTTATTGAAAAAAGTGAATAATTTCAGGTTAATGGTTAATCGATATTCGTGAAACAATTGCTCTTTCCCAGTGTTTGGTTCGGTGCAACCTGTCCCAGAAACCTTTGATCTTTACCACCAGAAAATAATTTCAAAGAAAACGATCTTATACCACTAAAGAGTTACTGCAAAAAATATTTTTAAGAGATTATAAAAATGTCTTACCTTTAATTTAATCAATTGGATATTTCTCTCCACTTATTGCTCTGTCACTTCAGCAACAGTCATCGCCTATTTCATGCCGAGCACTGATTGGGTCGATGAAGTCACGTGGCTTTATCGACGTGTTGAATCGATGGCCATGTGGCCAGGTAAATTATTTATGTTATAGGGAAGGTATAGCAATATTTCACAGATGGTGTACATAATTTCAGTGTTAATCATAGTGTAAACACACACCACTTCAATGAAATGGATGTGTACCAATGGATACAGGATTGTTGACCATGTACTGCAATGAATCCATTATACATCAAGTAAAATTTCAAAAGTATTTTGTTTGATTTTATCTTAAAGAGGAGAGAAGTGGACTTGTAGTATTTTTTTTTTCGAAGAACCTATCTCTTATGTAATAAATATATTAAAGTGTTATGGTCAGTAGCATTGCAAAACTTTGATATACAAAATTTTTTGGCATGGACACTGATGTACTTGTATCTTTTTTTTTTCTTGCCCAAAGTTGTGACGGTGATTCTGATATTTATACGAGGTTGAAAAACCTCAAACACCATACGAAAATGAGAAAAATAAGGTAATCAAAGGAGAAGGGCGAATAAGGTGTGCAAAATGCCTATAGCTTCAAATGTATAAAAGTCATATTCAATTTATGAATTTAGTATTTTGAGTAAAGTTCTTATCATTGAAAGATATGAAATTATAACAAATCTTTTTCTGCGGAATTTTTTTTTTGGCAAAAATCATTCTATAATTTAAAAAAATATATGATATTTTGGGGTTCGAACCCAAGCAATAATGTCCAGAATATCAATTTCCCTTCGAAACTATCACGCTAACCACTACGCTATACTGCTCATAAGAAATACCGCACTTTTAAAAATCATGTTTGTGATATGACCACTGACAAAATGGACTTCAAATATTTCTCGTAAAAATACGATTATGTCATAATAGTGTATATTTTAAGGTCTTTGCTCCATGTTTTTGTTAACCGAAGAATGTATATTTTTACAAATACTTTAAGAATAATCTTTCACTCATATGGAAAAATTGTGTTTTAGTATGAAGATATGTTCATATTTGCCCTCGTGTATGTATGCTATTTCATATAAGAATCATTTCAAGTAGAATATCATGTAGAGATTTTACATTATGTTCGCCCATCTTCTTCAGTCTGGCAACTTCCATACGTTTACGTAAAAATTAATGTACATGTATACATTGGCCCTGTTGAAAATATATAATGAGAATTTTCTCCAAAAAGTCATTATATACATGTACATTAATCATTTTTCCAACTTTAATCAAATCATTTAAAAAAAAAAGTTTGAACAAAGCAATATATCAAACATTTGTTTTCGAACACTTGGGGTATAATTCAATACAGCGCGTTACAGTTGAGAGATATCGACATTACTGGAATGAAAAAAATATCCCAGTTTAGGATCTTTTTGGCATGTATTACATTAAAGTTCTAGATTTCAGAGAATTAAAAACTATAACAATCTGCAGACGCGAAATAAAAAAAAATATTTGGGTAAGGAAAACTTAATATACATGCATGAATGCACATTTGTAAGGAGTCACATACGGACCTTTTAGTGCATGTTATGCCCATGCAGCTTCAACCGTTTTAAAACATTTATTACTATTATGTTAACGTTATTGTTTCTTTTGTTTCAAAGGGTTTATTTTGAAAAGTGGGCTTAAAAATTAGAAGTTTATAGCTTGCTTGACCGCCCAATGTAACAAAATTAAGCGGTCAATTGAATTCAGTTCTTTTAATTTAGTTAAGGGTGGATTCTTCTCATATTGTATTTAAAAAAATTATGAAATTTTCAAAGATTCGAGAAGACAAAATAATATGGCAGTATAAATTAATTAAAATTGATCGTCTTATTTTAGAAGCAAGGTCAAGTCAATACCACAGGCGCATGAAGTGTTTATTATACCGTACAAGGCCATTCTCTAAACATAAGAAAAGGTACAATCTGCTTGCATAGAACGACATATGGATGTGATTGATGGGGGAATTTTATATTATTGAGAAATTATAAGCTCTTACATTTTTTTATCAAAAGGGGGGTATCGATCCACACTTCAGGCGCCTGTGCTTTGCCCTGGATCCACTGGGGGTTTCAATGCAGCCCCCAGACCCCCCCCCCTTCTACTGCGCCCCCGTTATGAAATTCCTCCCTTAATTGAAGATTTTCGAAGTCATGTGAGGATGCAAAATGAATTTATAAAATATTGATCGCAGAATTAGAGAAAAAGAACAATATTTGATTGCTGATTTTTCACTAGGATCAATTTTGTTTTTAGATTGCAAAATTTAAAATTTAACAAGATTGTATAGTTTGTTTATTATATCATTTTTATTTTTTACTCTGAAACTACCCTCCTTTATTATAAGTTTCATTTAATTCAGGAAGTCCTTTAAGCTTTTGATTGTTTAAAAATGTGTACTACATTCTATATTCTGAGTAAATTTTGAAAGCAGAACATGATATTTTCCTGGTTAGTGGACCATCGTTCCGCCAAAAATTTAATCCCTGCATGTTTGATTTTAAATTCAGTTTACCATTTCTATGTCAAGTTGTACTATTGTGAGAAGGAAAGAAAAATATTGTCTTAAAAATTCCTTACATTTTGATATTATTTAAGATATTTAAGCAAATATACTATGAATATCTTGATTAGGCAAAAATCTGATATGCAATAATCCCTCCATTCTGATGTACATGCTTGAAAATGAAATGATGTGTTAGAAAAGAGAGAGAAAGAGAGTAGGGTAGGATATTCTAGCTAATACAAAGTTGAATTGCGCATAGATTGGATTTATTACTTGAATCACAGGAGTCGGGTATTTAAACAGATATTTTAGCTTTTAAAAAAGTACAAAAATAACTTTTTGTTTAACTTTTATCTAAATTTAACGAAAATATCAGTAAGATTAATCAATACGTAATCTCTGTGCGCTGGAAATAACTTCATAATCTGACGTTGATTCAACTTCAATTTAAACGTTGAGATAAAGGTTGAAAAAAAGAGTAAATTGTTACAATAAGTTAAATGCATGTTATAGTATAGTAAACTATGACATTTTTCGATCTTTTTCTCTTTATGACTTCCACACCTTTCGAGAATCTATATTTTCCCCCTCCTAAATTGAGATCTTTCTACTTCTAGTCTCCCGGCACAAGAACCTTTCATTGCTAACCAGGGCACATTCTAAAATGAAAAAAACCCCAAACTTTTTGATTTTTTTTCCTGAAAAAAAAAATCAACACAATTTACTGAAAAAAATAAATGAATACTTTTCTGAATATCACGACAGTCACATGCCTGCAAGCACTGTCACAGCTTCATGTAGAAAATCTAAATATCAGTCATCATTATAGCTTGTGCATATATCAATGCATAAACTTAAAAGTCCTTAACAATAAACTCATTCAAATCATAAATATGAAATCAATAGTATTTTAATTATAATTTAGACACTTGTCAAAAATAATCTGTTACGCGCGGCTCATGATTAAATCGGTTTTCTTTGCGATATTTTTTATAAACCCCACGGGTGTGTTTCTAACCATCCCTTTAAAACAAAATTTCATGCTGACCTATTTAATAATCATATATCATCATATACATACTATAAGATTTGAATAATTAATGCTTTAAAAAAAATCTGTAGAAAAGTGTCTTCTTTTTTTTTCTTTTTTCTTCTATAAAATATATCATAATGTGCGTTATGAAAAAATCAGAAAAGATATTAAAAGATGCAGAATTGTTGATCAGTATCTCAGCGTCGAATAGGTGGACTTTTTAAAGGAAAGAAAAATATCGGTTATCTTTTAAAAACTATCTATAGATAAATGTTGATAATGTTGAGTAGGATCAGTAATATTAACGCAAAAATGACGCTATGGGGAATAAACCATCGGGATCGGAGTGTGCATTTTTGTAATAGTCTCTAAAACGTTTTTCAGTTCTTGGGTTTAACTCATTCAAGGTAACACAGTCATCGACCTGGAATGTGGGTGTAGGTAGAAATTGTTCACACAGTGCATTTAACAAAGATGACCAACTCGGACTTGTGGGTATGTTTTTAATAATTTTAAGTCAGATATGCTGCTGTCAGAGAAACAAACACGAAAAATATAACGTTAACCCTGTATTGGCAAGAGAACGCAGCTGTCATTCTCAACTTTAGCTTATAGCCAAGTTGCACACAACACCTCAGATAAACAAAACCTGATCTTCAATAAACTGGAGCACTTATTGTTGAAATGCATTGGTTAACATGGCAATGTAATTAGTGATGAGTACAATATGTATCTGAAATAATAAATGCTAGGTTGGATAATAAGCACTTTGAAAAAGTAGAAATAGCAAATTGAAAGTGTAAATCATTTTGGGTCTAGCCGGATATAATTTGTCAGGGTGTAAATTGACTAATACGTTGTGCGACCGGTTTGGAGGACATTCATTCCACCAGGATGAGTCGAGCAACTGCCATCGTAAGTAGATCTATGAATATGATAAGGTCAAGTACATGATTGTTCACGGTGTATTATCAGTCTCTTAGTGGGAGATGCAAGTCTCGTGCCTTCCATGGTGCACGTGTTCTATCATCCGTGACAGGGTCAAAAATTTGACAGGTGGGTGCTTCTTGAATCCAACGGCTTACCTTTAATATATATGCATAAATTTGTAACTATTTTATTTTGTGTGGGAGTATGTTTTTAGAGGCACTTAGAATGATAAAGTATATTTTGCAATTTATTGAGTAAAGTACAAAATTTGTTTATCATAGCTCAGGTTAGACAGTAATGTGTGCTTGCATCATCATGATTAATCAAAAATAGTTATGCTTTCCTTAATTAAAATGGATATGGTTCAAGAGTTCAAGATCTCTTGTTTGACAAGTTTCAGCAAGCATCTATATGTAACTTGCACTGATTTCATAATGTACATGTAGTGATGCTGTTAACTTTGAGTTAGTCAGTACACTGTAATAGAGATGTGGAGATCAATATGACAACATTTTTGTATTTCTTTGTGTTTTTTAACACATTTTTTCGAAATAATTTATTACATGACTGAGATGAGAGTTAACTTAAGAAGGGTGTGCCAGTGCAGATAGGGGTTTTCAGGCTATGACCTATGTACAGTGTACTGTTGAAGATATACACGCTATATAAACGCGATTTTTTATGTAAAACAAAATGATTAAATGATTTGAAAAACATGATTGTAATAAAAAATAATTACTTTCCACAAAGTTTTAGTATATAAGTCGTTGTAATTACAAAACAATTAAGCAGGATCTGCAATTAAAAATTCAGCCTATTCATGAATATTGATGAAGGAAGTGCGTAAACAGTGTATAGACACACATGTCCCCGGGAAATCATAGACAACGAAGTATGTTGCATTTTGACTATGATTTTGAATAAAAGTTAATATCTGTCATTACAGAGTAGATGGTTAATACTGGTTGTTTTCAAAGATAAGTATCTTTAAGCATAAAATGTATGCCATCCATGTCAAAAGTTATTTTGTATACCAAACGGCCTACCTCGTTTTCTTGAACGCCATTTTTGTTTATCAATCTGAAAGTAGCGACAGTGTCACATGATGCATGAATTTAAATATAGACATTACTTTCCTAGTAGGATAATAAATAATTATAATATGAGATCTTTCTAATGCGTTCATTTCCAATTGTGTAATTTACAATATTTTCGTAACTTTATTTGGTAAACAAAATAAATAAATTTCCAACTTTATTTTTAGCTGATAAAAGTTATAGCGTGTATATCTTTAAGTTATGATCTAGGTACTACATTTTTTTTACACTTGACAGGGTGTGCCGGTGCTGATAGGGGTTTTCAGGTTATGACCTATGTACTGTTAAGTTATGACCTAGTTACTACAGATTTTTTTTATACCTGACAGGGTGTGCCGGTGCTGATAGGTGTAGGTGTGGTTGCTGTCACTGCCATCCTAGCAAAGATCTTCTTATTTGGAAACAAGAAGAAAGCAAAGTCCCCCATAACACTACAGGACCCCAATACCAAGTACCCTCTTAAACTTGTGGATAAAGAGGTAAATAAATACACAGTGTGGAAAAAAGTGAAATTTACTTTAATATTGTGTATACTTTAGAAAAATTTTTGACAAGTTACATATAAATGTGGGAGATTGAACATTTTTTAAAATACGTTTGAATTATATATATGATTTTATTTTTTAAGGAAGTAAGTCATGATACAAGAAGATTTCGTTTTGCCCTTCCAAGTCCAGAGCATATCTTGGGACTACCTGTTGGTAAGTTTAACATCCGAAACCAAATAATTTCAGGCACCAAAGGAAGAAAATGACCACACTAAAGCCAAAAAATTAATTTTTTTGATTCTCGATCATTCCATCTACCAGGTGCCTATCTCAGAGTTACTCACCTTTGTGTGTTTTATTTTGTAAAAAAAATTCTTAACAGACAAATTATGAAAAAATGGACTCAGTGGGCCAAGTTTAAAAAATTCCTTGTTTGCAGTTGCCAACCTACAATTTTTAGAGTGGGTAGGTAGGTAGTTTTTCCTTCCTTTTTTTTTCTTTAAAGTTGTAGTTTTCAGATTTTTGATAGATAACAAAAATAGTTACTAAACATAAATAAGCTTCACTTTTTTATAAGCCACTGATTGATAAAAACAAAAAATTAAAAATAGAAAATGAAAAAGTTTTAATATCCTGATAGCTGAAAAAAAGTTTGGGTCAGTTGCATTTTCAGTGGTTCGGTAGACAACCGCAAACAAACAAATTTTTATTTTAGGCCTAGTCAGTATGCAAGAAAGACGTCTGAATAGAGACATACGAGAAAAAAATTAAATAAAAAATGAATCCATGTTGCAAGTTAAGATTTAAATTGAAAAAATTAAGTACACATGTCCTAAAAAGCTTTATCAAAATCCTTTTACACATCGCTCATCTCAGTCAGCAGAAACTAAATTCTTTTCCTCATTTTTCATCATCCTTGACAGAACAAAAGTTGATAGAATGAGATGTACATATGTTTTTTATATCCACAGGTCAGCATATTTACCTGACCGCTCGTATTGATGGACAGCTGGTGATCCGCCCCTACACCCCAGTATCTAGTGATGATGAAAAGGGATACATGGACCTGGTCATTAAGGCAGGTGTTCTTAATTAACAATGATAAATATGATTGAATTTGTAATTGTACTTCTACATTTGGTGCAGAGTAAAGGGAGGAAGATGCTGGTGAATGTGTATTAATTAAATAAACTAAATAATAAATGTCCTGACAGTTAATTTATTTATGATTGTCATGACAGGTTTACTTCAAGAATGTCCACCCCAAATTTCCTGAGGGTGGGAAAATGTCCCAGCACTTGGAGAACATGTCCATTGGAGACTTTATTGACGTAAGAGGACCTAATGGTTTACTGGTCTATGAGGGAAAAGGTATGGCAACAGAAGTGTGCATTTTAATCAAAAGTTTGATTTACCACACCCTGCAGTAAGCACCTTGAGGTATGCTGTTAGAGATGCAAATCTGAAAATGCCATATATGCTGGAAATAAATAAAGGACATTGGATTTAAAATGGATGGAAATATAAACTTTTACTGGGGATGTGGATGCTGACATTCAATGTAAAAATGCTCGACAGAAGCATTGGATTTGGTTGATATTGTTTTGTTGAATCTGTAAGTAGTTAGACTGTTTCATTGGAATTTCCACAGAGGTGCAAAGCTGAATAATTTACTATTAGATAGTTAACTATTCAGCTAATGCAGGTTGCACTATCCAATGACTTTGACATATGAAATTTTTTAATGCATTATATACATAGTTTTTTTTTCTTTAAATTTTTGCAAAGTGTAAGTCCATCATATTTAAATGGGGAGCTAGTAATGTAAATCATCAGAGATAAAATTTTAAAAACTGTGAATCAGCATGCAAGAGTTATTTCCCTCTAAACATGTTTGTTGACTACATATCACTATGGGTTTATCCACAGGTGTGTTCAAGGTGCGCCCAGACAAGAAGTCCCCTCCGGAGACTGTGACAGCTAGGAATGTTGGAATGATTGCGGGAGGGACAGGAATAACCCCCATGCTCCAGCTTATTAGGGAGGTGTTCAAAGACCCAGAGGACAAAACAAACCTCTCTCTACTCTTTGCTAATCAGGTTTGTTTTAGACTATGAATCAATGATTAATTAAAGCTTGTTATATACTATGCTATTATGTATGCAGTATGCACTTGAATTATATATGTTCTATGCTTTACCTCCATGTATATTACTTTAACATTTACAGACACCTCTATACTTGCACACTGAAGAGTTCAAATCTGCAGTGCTTTTATGCAGTTATTGGTGTACCTTTTAATTCAAATTTAAATAAACTGAAATTTTTAGTGCAACACACAGTTTTTAATCAATTCAAGAATTTTTAATAGTATACTGGACCAAGATTAAGAAATTGAGTACATTATTTAATTGTGTTTTCCTCATTTAAGTAAGTAACAGTGATTTCTATTCCATCAACGTACAGATAGTGACTAGCTGTTATCTGAACAATTTCCTGGGAAAGAATGACAGGTTTCCTATATTGAAAATGATATAGAACAACTCAGTATTTTCACCTTTATACATGTATAAATTTCTCAGTCAAAAAAAAATCATTAGTGTAAAGAGGTTCCATAAAATTGAATGTTTTAGTTTATTGATGTGCATTTAAATGTTTTAAAGACAGAAGATGACATTCTGTTGAGAACAGAGCTAGAGGATTTACAAGAGAGCTACCCTAACCGTCTCAAGTTGTGGTACACTTTAGATCGACCAACAGAAGGTAAAAACTTGACAGTCAATCAGTACTTATAGCAGGGTTGTTCCTAAGAATTGAAATAAGAGGGGGCATTAGAAAAGTAGAAGGGGGGTTCCTCCCCTAACAAAGTGTTGAGTGGGAATGGGGAAATATTAGAGTAGCTGGGGATAACTTTATTATAGACAGGGAAATCCCCAGGCCCCCAGGTCTTAGAGACAATCCTGTAATAGACTGTAATGTAAAAATAAAATTTCAAAAAGAATCAAGAATTTACAATAAAAAAATTTATTTGAAGTTTTTGAACTTATTTTGAATTCATAATTGTTATGCCCTGAGCTAAAAAACGAAGGGCACATTTCATGTGCCTGTCTCTCTGCATGCAATGTTAGTTTTGCTCAATATACATTTAAAAATATGATGCTGCTCCAAATTCTCTCTTTTGTAATAAAAGAAATCCATGCTTTCATAAAACTCCCTTGTACAGTTTTGATGGGGATGTAGAGTTTTCCTCTTTCTTAAAAGACTATAATCATAATGTCGTTAAAACCACATTATTTGTCAACAGGTTGGAAGTACAGTAAGGGCTTTGTCAATGATGAGATGATAAAGAATCACCTCCCTCCCCCTAGTCATGATACGGTCATCCTGATGTGTGGACCCCCTCCCATGATCAACTTTGCCTGCCAACCAAACCTTGACAAACTTGGATACAGTCAGAAGTCCAGATTTGCCTACTAGATATGGCTTTCATTATTTAAGTTCAGTTGCATAGTTGATTGTGGATTGTATGTGTAAATTATTTTGTAAATGATATGCAATCATGATTTTGAAGAAGGTTTAAATTAAAAAAAAAAAGACAGAAAAGGCACTTTATAATCTTGAAAAATGAGAATGTCTGCAATAAGTTAGCTAGTTTATATATTTGATGCAATATATGGTGTCTTAATTGCCTAAAGTGTTTGTTACAATATAAAAATTTAGTTCTGTTGTTGCTGGGCATTGTCTTACAAGTAAACTGTACTACTGTGTAGTGTACTTTGTAATATAATTCACTTTTCTTATGTAATAAATTTATTTCTACTTTTGTAAAATTTTAACATTTGTTTTTTTTTAAAGGGAGAAAAATATTGATAACAACAAAAAAATTCTCTGTTGTCCAACATTTACCTGTGATGCAAAATTTCTGAAGCTGAAAGTCTGGAAAAAAACTAGGGGAATTCCATACTGAGTAGAAAAATTTTTGAGACATGCATCAGGAAAAAATCATGAAAAACCAGGATTCAAATTTTGCTCCAGGTCTTTACATAGCTTTCTAGCAGTTAAACATTTCTGATTACACGTGCTAAATCTAAAAAAAATTTCAGGGCCCAGAGATACAATTAGGACTCAGGCAGTGAAATAGCACCTAAATCAGTAGCTATAGTTGGGGGATACAGGATATTAAATATTTATAGGGATAAAAACCAATTCTAGGTTCTCTGGGTCCAGCTGTCTGTATCAAATTGATAAATTTCTACTTTACAAAATCTTTGTCACACCATTATGGACTCCTAAGGCTTAGACCTGCACATGCTTTACACAGAGAATGTGGAGATGCTTGCATATTAATTTGATCAACTGTGTCCCTAGTGACTATTATAATTAAACCCTTTTCCTAAGTGCCCTGCTTTGAACAACTTTGAACCTACAGTGCAGCCAGGAAGGCCATGACTAGAACAAATTTAAATGTCTAATTTTTGTACTGCTATTCTTCTGGAAAAAATATCTTATACCTAAAATTTTTGTCTGTATTGTAGCTCAGTTCTATTGCCAAAGAACATGATTTAAACAAACTTTTTTTTATTAATTCATAGAATACAGAATCATTTGTTTTAGCTGTCTGTTTAAATTTTGCCTTACCTAAATATTGCCATTACCAAATTATCTTCATGGTCCTTCATTTGAACCAAATTCCCTTCCTGAAAACATGCTTTTATATATATACAAACAGTGAAACCTGTATTAAGCGACCTATCCAGGGAAATTCTAAAATGGTCACATGACTAAAGACAGGTGTCTCTTCAAGCAGGGAATCATATTCTATCATTTTTTTAAAGTGTTTATCTCTCTGTATTTGATCAGTTCTATACAACTGCTAAACATGTTCCTTTGTCTCAACTGACCATCTATTTAGAGTAAAAATAAAACAGATACAAAAATCAACTTTAATGACAAAAGTGATGTTACAGATATAGTAAAATAATTTACATAAAATTTAAATACAAATATACATAACAAAACATTTGGTTCCAATTCTTTGTGTATGCAATGGATTAAATGAATACAAAGCAGCTACATAAACAAACATTTAAAACCATAAAAATACATGTGGTTATTGAAAGTTCCAAGAGATGATCATATCCTTAAGTACAAACACAACATAGTTTAGAGCTTTATTTACTTATTTTCTGTATAATTGAAGAGTTCCATTAATTGAAGGATCGATCATTGTGTGACTTTTAAAATGTTTAATGATGCTGCTCACCTCTTCTAAATCAAATTTTGCGAAAATATTAGCAAAAACTACACTTTCAATAATTTTTATTTGAATAAAACAAGGATTTTCATCATTTGATATCGGTTCAAGACCTCTGGCAATGTATGATGATTTTTTTGTCAGAGAACATCTGATGGTACATGTACTATGATTGTAAATCAAGAAAGTCTTTGAAAATTAAAAAGGTCCATTATAAGATACATGTACATTGTGTATGATCTTAATCAAAGCTATGTTTTTCAATTTTTCAGAGAAGAAATTTAACAAAATAATTTTCACAATGCCAACCATATTTCAAAAAATATCATGTGAAGGCAACAAAGACAATTATAATCAGTTGTTTAAGTAAAGATTCAAACAACCAAATTCGTTTTGTGTGTGTCATAAATGCGAGGTTCCCTACTTAATCACTTCATTCTAACCCTCTGACTGATTGTCTGCTGTTCAATTTCCTGGAATATAAGTTCATTGTTCACACAAATGGAGAAGACAAAATAACAGAAGTTTACAAACATTTCACAGAAGACCGTTAACTTTAATGACATCAGTTTACTTTGTAGAGCTTACTAAGACACTAGTCTTTCCGTGGGAATATGATCCAAGCATCAAGTTGATATTTTTTCCGATATTTGTATGAAAGAAGATGCATTTTATCAGCTTTCAATCCGTTAAATTAAAAATGATTAATATATATAAAAACCATTACAAAAAGATATCATGGTTAATACAATGATCCATGAATCTCAATATGGTTATTATAATAATCCATTTACTTAAAAGACATTTAATAAAATAATCTAACTATTATAATATTAATGTAAACTTGCTCTTAATCTAGAGCATTAGTGTCAACAAAAAGGAACCATGTTTAATAAACGGATCTTTTGTACTTTTTTAAATACAGACTTGAGAAAAATTGATCAAATATGGTTTTTAAATTCTCTTTGCAAAATGTTTTCACTTATCCATCTTTAAACTTTAAAACTTTATTAATACATGATGAATCTTAGAGAATCTAAAATTCACAACAAATAGGTTTTTCGACTAGTAAAATCATCACCAAGAACTTTGTAACAGCGTTCATAGCTAGAAAATAACTAGCTAATCTAAAACATGACAACAATTTATAGTCAACAAACATCACACGTCATTCACAGAAGTATTCAAAATGATGGGTGTGTGTCCCAATAAATTGTAGATTTTTGAAAAGCTTTTTATTTTTCTGACATTATAAGTATTTTCTCATCTATTTCAGAGTTGTAACAGAGAGGTCAAAAGCTTGCACATGAAAACCAAATTGCTATCCTATAATTTTAACCATTGTCATTGTCTATATGTCTTAGAACATACTCCTATGATTAAAGTTCTGAAAAAGTGATCATTTTAATGTGTGGTATCAAATTACCAACCTCCTTCTTCGTTTAAATCAGAACACACATTTGAAGGTCAATACTGCCCATTAGCATCAACTTGAAATGATAAAAGTTCCAATTGATAAATATATGGCAAACAGAATACACAAAATGACTATCCATCCATACAATCAGGTAAAAGGCTGCAAAACACTGAAATATAATGTAAACTATGGATACAGTACCACAAGTCTTTGTCTGGTATGACAGGAGGCACTCTAAACATCAGACAGCACTTATGGTGGTCAAGAGATACCAGTAAGTCTATTTTTGGGTGATCAATCCTTAGATGCTACTGTTATTCTGCATTCCGTGCAATAAATTTGATTTTAGGTAAAAATCTGGGCATTTGCTGCAGTTTTATTCATTCACTAGTCATTTTTATAGTTATATGCCAGCATAATTTGGTGTACATCATGTCTTAGGTTATTGTACATGTACTTAATTGCTGAACTATATTGTTTGAGCTGTTCTATGCTCTTCTCATATTAAACTAGAAGTTTTACAGAAGAATAACATAATTTTCTGAACATGTGTATATGTATACCATTTTAGTCAAAATTTACATGAAACATACAGTTAGCCAAGTCTACAATTTATCGTGACACGCCCCTCTTACAAACACACATTCTATTCCAATTTCTTACAATCAGGACTTTCAATTAATTCATAACACAGAACAATAAGAAAAATCTAGACTATTGCTGGACTACAATGTCCTTCTGTCTATATAAATGCAGCTTAAATTAGCACCTCTGAACAGCCTGTTTAGAAACTCACAAAAAAATAAATAAAAAGATGTATATGTTTCTCAATTAATTTTATAAATCTTAGACAAATAGTTGAAATTTTGTTACCATGCATTGGCAATTTTTGTTACCATTAGCAATTGTCAAATTAATTCACAAGACAGACAGGAGACATATTTATATCAATAAATTATCAAGAACATTTACAATACAGATAATGAAGAAGAGCTTAATTGGACCTTCCAGAGTTACTGCTCTTGTTCTGCAGTTTTACTGGGTCTTTTCGTTGCTCCTTTCTTGGAGGAAGTTCTAGTCAGGATGGCAAAACACAACCTGTAACCCAGCCCCCAGTAATATAAACAGTTGATCAGAGCACTGGACCCTCCCAGCAACAGTGCCCACATGGCTTGATGTCCCATAAATATTGCCCAGATACTCACTGAAAAATAAAATTGTCAACTGTTCACCATGAAAAAGCATGCGGACACGTACTGTTCCCTAGCTGGAAAATGTTTGCCTCAAATCATATTTTCCCACTTAAAAATAAATTGTGTAATTTTTTTTTATCACCTTATCTGCAAATGGCTAAAGAGTTTTGATTACTTGCTTCAGCTAAGTGGTAAATATGTTTGCTAAAATTTTAAAAATAATAAAAGTGAAAAAACAGGAAGTCATTTTCATTCCCTGTTTATATTTCTATTTTTTCCCCTTGCTTCAATCTCTGAAATTTATTATTAACTGTTATCTATTCAAAACACTTGCAGAGCCCCAAAATATCCATGCTATTTCAATTCTTTATTGAAATAAAAAATTGTAATACCCAATGTGACAATCATTTCTGTCTCTACTCAAGACAACAATTTTTGTGATACTATTGCATCTAGTCATCACTTATGTTCCAGCAAAAGAAAATAACAATTTTTATTTCCCGAGTCTATTTTCCTCCCATAATCATCATTATATATCGACTGCACAAGCTGTTATCGCTGGACTATAAGAATGTGTACATAGTATGAAGTTACTGACAGAATACTGTGATAAATCTGTAACTGATCAGACATTGACATTTTGGAGGACTGCATCCTGAGTACTGCCCTCTCTTGATGAATACTTCATTACCAAGTGACTGATAAACAAGGGACTGATGTTTCATCGTTATACTTATGAAATGTTCATTAGAGGAGTCAGGTTCAATAACTGACAAATATTATCAAACATTTTCTGATGGTCCCCGACAGACATTATCACTTATAAATTGCCTGGTGTCTATATCATAACTATCATTTTTCAATATTGACTTTACCCAGACCAATTAATTCTTCAGAATTGAAACATCTCAAGTAATTTTCTTTTCTTCTATCTAAATTTAATCTCTCAGTCTTTAATCTTTATTTCCTGTAAATATCAAGTAGATTTCCTTACTACTAAGTGTAACAGGAAAAAATGAATCTTTTGTTCTCAATTCATTTATGCAAATCATAAAAAAATCAGACAAGGGTTATGACCATTCACTTCCACCCCTGAAAAAAAATTTATTTGTTCCAGGTACATTAATATCTAGAGAAAGAACAAGACAACAGGCCCACTGGGACACACGGGTATCATAATTATTTCATAATTACTCTGAGATCTAAGCCACCTTAGAAATTTTTACTGTTGCTTTGCTACAAATCAAAGGCACAAGCAAAAATTTTATGTGCATCTTTGTATTTGGCCCCACCCTGGAGCCTGTGCCCCTTATGCAAGAATTTTTAACAATTTCACCAAAACCCTTTGCTTGTTATAACTATGTGCTCAGAACAGTAAAACTTCGTTATAGCTTGTGAATTCATTTAAGTATTGAATCCTTATTTTTAGATGTCGTCGGTCATATAACCGCACCTGGCTTTGTGGACAAATTGAATACTGCACGTTAGAGCAGTTCGATAATTTCTTGGCATGGACAGGTGCTGTTGTACAACCAACATCAAAAAATAAGAATTCATATTGCTTAAATACATTTTCTAATTTTTTTCTCTTCATAAATGTCAATTTCATTCATCTTCATTGCAAGTATAATAGATTTACTGCGGTTCAGCCATACAAGCACCATAGAAATTTTAATTGAAATCAACCTAGAAGATTCAGAGGTGGAGTTAAAATTGTTCTGAAGTTCAAAGATGATGAAAAGTGTGCAACTGTGAGGCCTGTTCAACTGAGCAAATGCTCGGGAACATTTCTGTTGGAGGTATAAGGAATTTTGGTGAGCACTCGCTCTGTTGAACAGGCCTCAGGTGACATAAACAGTTTACAGACAGACAGATGGGAAACTCCATACCATACCAATATGGCCTGTAAACAGATGAAACCTATAAAAATCAGTAGTCAACTAAACGTTCAATTAATATAGAGGAATTTTCAGAAAACACAATAACACCTTATGACTGTATTGTGTCCTGAAGCCAGGGCTATAAATACAGTGGAACCTTGTTAATCTAGAACCCAATAATCTGAACCTTTCATCTTCCAGACAATTTTTGCGGAACAGAATTAGCTTTATATATATATATATATATATATCAATTACAAAGAGTCATTTTCAGTAATCTGATGCTTCATTAAATCTAGACAATTTGCTTGGGAACACAAGTGTCCAGAATAATGAGTTTTAACTGTAGTACTACAGTTATACCTTTTACCTGCCTCGGCCTTATCTCTATATGGTGCAGTGTGTGTAATTATACTAGTACCTGTTGTTTGTACAGTCGCCAGTGCTCCTTGCTGGAGAGTTTCCAATCTCTGGTGAACACCCAGTAGAAGTAGACACTAACACATATACAGACGAGTCTAAGACACAGGAAAAGTAGAGGAAAAGCACACAGTGTGGTCACAAATGGTAGGCAGAGGGCTGAAACTGAATCAAAGCCCATATCATTACAACATTCACTGCAGGGTGTACCCCCCACCACTGAAAAACAAAAGGCTGGCTATGTCTGTATCAACATCAAAATCACTCAGCAAGGCACGATATATAGCAATTCCAGGTCACATGATTCAGCAAGGCATGATATATAGCAATTCCAGGTCACATGACTCAGCAAGGCATGATATATAGCAATTCCAGGTCACATGACTATGATGATACATAGGAGATCACAACACTTAGTATATATACATGTATATATGTAGCTTATAACATGCATGGACAAACAAGTTATAATGAAATTGCTCAGTATTTCAAATTATGCATAATTACATATTATTCTTTCTTGTAGCAAAAATTAATCCCTCCACAGAAAGTTTGAGGTCATTTCAAACAAGGTCAAGGTCAGAACAGTTTATTAAAAGAACTATGAAAGCACTAATTATTTTTTACATATTAAAGTGGCATAATTTAAACTGCAAACAGTTTCTTCTTATTGTTGTTAAAATCCATGTTTACACAATTTTCATAGCTATAATGTTTCACAACAGCTCAACAATGACATCAAAGTCTATGACCCTTCATTACGAAAAGACAGACAGAGCCAAAAGGAAAAACAATGAAAATGTAATATACAGAAAATTCAATGTTTTGTAGTTGGGTCTGGAATTCATTTTCCTCTTTGGATATTTTCACTTGAGTTTTGGAAAATTTTAACCCCATTCTTGAAAACAATTCCTTATCCAATTGAAAACATTGAATATCCATCTCTATATATATGGCAGCTAGGGCATCATTCATTTTCTACCTAACATTACCATTCAAAAAGATGATGGCCAGGGAGAAGTAAAATTAAGCTATATAGCTTCGAAACATTTATAATCATTAAATATTTTTATTTTGTTGGAAACATGTTTTATATGCAATACAACTGTACCACTATACGTCTTTGACATGTCCGATAGGAGGTTTATATGGAGATTTCTGAAGCAGCTTAAAAACTTCTCATTTCCTCTTAATGCTTAATTAGCATACCTCATAAAACACTCAACAACAGACTTAAGGGGGAAATACCTTTGAAGGAGTCATGTTATATCAAGCCTAATCAATATTTCTCAAAAATTGATTTCTTAATCAAAACATGCTTTGTCCATTGTCAACCAGTGGAATCTATCACAATGAGGTCTAATTTGCAGGAAAGTGGCTCAAAATCGAAGATTCATCATCTAATGACAATGTTGTTTTTTTCTTTGCAGAGATTTTACTTTCTAAATATTCTATCATTTCTACTGGCTATTTGGCTAGTCACATTAACATCCTGTTAAATAAGCTGTTAATGGTGTTAGGAATTGAATTAAGTCTTTGCAAGTTACAAACAATCAGTTATATTAAGTTTAAAGTCACCAATGGTTGATCTAAAGTCATCAATTGGACATGATTGATATTTCTGAGATATTGGAATTCTTGATGCCCTTCATTATGACTTTTTCTGTCTTAATCTTTGCCTGAGAGACACAGAATTAAGGGATTGTCTCATTTAACAATATGAGAAACCTTAACAAATTGCCGGTTGAGTACACAAATCTTAAAATACTGAAATTGTTACCACAGATTTGAAAAGTTTTTAAATCATTAAAAAAATTGAAAAGGTCAACTTCATATATTCCTAAAATCATCTGCTTACAATTAACAAAGACTTTGTGAACATAAAATCAGAAAGAAAAAAAAAACAATGGATATGCTAATCCTATCAATCACTGAATCCTTTTTGAATTTTCAATATGTGCTGCTGCAGTTGTTAGGACAATTTTCATGTTAGATAGTGAAACATTTATTGACTTTGGTATTCATACATGATAACTTGCTTTAGCACATCAAGTTGTACAATGTTTATCCCTGTCAATTAAACAATACTGTCAAATGTTCCATTCAAATTCCTTTTCCATACAATCAAGGAAAATTAATTAGATAAGCATGTATTTGAGAATGCATATTTTCCCCACATTACATCATTTTCTTCCAACATAAATGAGCCCTAGGCATTCAATCATTGATTATCAATTTTCCATGGTAAAGATATGCAGCCTTATGCATCATTGTTTTTGTTATGTCAATATGAAATAAACATGAAAGGCAAACATTTAGGGGAGCAAGTATTGTTTGCAAAAATTCAATCTGTTTGTCAAAGAGAATGTAACACCAAAACCTAACACAGTTTTAGATAAGAAAATGAGTAAATCTATGTTACAATAGACTATAAGTAAACATAGTTAATAATGGGTGATAATGTTACCTAGACAGGATTTTTCTAATGTCAGTACACTACATACTGATAGTTAATAGAATAAATAAGATTTCTAAAACACTAATGTGAAAGCTTTGTTAAATGTACAGTCTGCATTTCATATTACATAAAATATTTACACTGCATCATGCAAGCTTAAAATGAGCAACATCAATAAAATTTTAGAAAGAAATAAAAATCTAAAATGTTCTTTTTGTGAATATATATAGGAAACTTCAGGCAAAGCAATGGTTAGGAGGCACACGAATACTACATTATGAATGTGCCTGGAGCCTAAGGCACTTCTTGCAAGCTACAATATAATGTATGCCTATAATGCCTACGTACTACACGCTATACATGGTGAGGTGTGCTACTGCCTGGGGCCTGACAGGCTGACCTACACTTACCAATGGTATGAAGTGAGAAGAAGAGAATGCTGCACAACAATAGTAGTCTGATCATGTCTTTGTCCACTGTGTTCACTGTGTACCAGTACATTAAAGACAAACCTGGAGAAAAAAATTACAGGAGAGTTCTCATCAGTGGTATACAATAAACTGTGTTATATAAATGACAGGAGAGTTCTCATCAGTGGTATACAATGAACTGTGTTATATAAATGACAGGAGAGTTCTCATCAGTGGTATACAATGAACTGTGTTATATAAATGACAGGAGAGTTCTCATCAGTGGTATACAATGAACTGTGTTATATAAATGACAGGAGAGTTCTCATCAGTGGTATAAAATGAACTGTGTTATATCAAAGAGACCAAATGGAATCATTATGTGTTAACTGTTAGGACTATGGTATTATGCTAATGGCAAGGATTTTGTGCAGGGATGTTTTTTTTAATCTTGATCTTCGATTTAGAAAATTAGGTCAAGATCACTACACATATTTTACCCAGGGGAATGCTAAGTGTGCAGTATAAGCCAGATTTGGCCAAAGGGAAAGAAGAAAATATAATTCATAGAAAGTTTTTACACACAGATGGTTTTTTCTAACCTTGACCTATGATAAACTAGAAATATGTCCATAGGACATGAATGCCCCACTGAGGGTATATTAGTAATGCAAACTGAAAATTTGTATTAGTGTATGAAATTTGATTAGAAAATCTTGAATAGTTTCTTTAAAATTGAAGTCTAAAAAGCTGGATATAGATGATAAAATCCAAAGGTCAAACATTTTTGATGCAGTTGAATTGTTCTCACAAATATGTATCAGCATAATTAGTTTGATAAAAATATTTTGAATGGTTTATTTAAAACTGAGCTAAACACTAATTTGAAATAAATAAAGTTAAGGTCAAAGGAAAGGTCAAAGTCAAAAAATGTTGATGCAGTTGAAAAGCTTACATCGGTATGTATTAGCATATGAAGTTTGATAAAAATTTTATGAATGGTTTCTTTAAAACTGAGTTAAACACAAATTGATAAAAGTGATGTCAAGGTCAAATGAAAGGTCAAGGTAAAAAAAAATTGATGCAGTTGAATAGCTCTCATCAGTATGTGTCAGCATATGAAGTTTGACACTAATTTAAGAAAAGTGAGGTCAAGGTCAAAGTAAAGGTCAAGGTCAAAAAATGTTGATGCAGTTGAATAGCTCTCATCAGTATGTATCAAAATATGAAGTTTGATTACACTATCTTGAATGGCATATTTAAAACTGAGCTAAACACTAATTTAGGAAAAGTGAGGTCAAGGTCAAAGGAAAGGCCAAGGTCAAAATATGTTGATGCAGTTGCATAGCTCTCATCAATATCTATCAACATATGAAGTTTGATGAAAATATCTTGGATAGTTTCTTTGAAACTGAGCTTTGAACTGAGCTAAATGCAAAGCGCGATGGAAGGACAGACTGAAGGATGGAAGGACAGAAGATCACTACACACCCTTTACCCAAGGACACCCAATGAGTGAAGTTTAAGGCACATTGAGCCAAGGGGAGAGAACATAGGCTCAAGTAAAGAGGAATGTATGGACAAACAGATGGACAGATTGACTGATCACTACAAGGCATTTGCAGAGCAGGGCCCTAATAATGGTATATAATTTACCACATATTACAAAATAAAGCCATTAAATGATGCCAGAGGGGAAAAGGGATAACATTATTTGATATAAAAGTCCACGAAATTAAGCAGAATTTCATGGAATACAATTTAATGTTTAGATAAAGAGTCAGGACATCAAGATTTTTTAATGTAAACATCAAGAAAATGGAACTAACTCATTCATTATATTCATTTACAGGACCAAATACGTGAATGTAAAAGCCCTGGTTAATGCATAGTACATCACACTTGTCATTACAAAACTCCCACACTGTTGTTGATACACGATTTATATTGTATAATTCCTCCGATACTTACAGAGAAGTGCCACTCCGTACAGTCGGATTGGTAGCGTGTTCTCATACTCTCCGTCATACATTGTTGTGAACAGGTGTCTTGGAAAAATAAATGCCTGATATAAAAAAAAGTTAATAAATTAAATAATGATATGGGCAACATTTAACAGTCAATAGTAAAAATGTTTTACTTTTACTAAATCATATATTATTTTGGCTTTCTTCCTAATGTACAAGGACTCATCCTGCAATAATTTGACTTTTGATTTTGCTTGCTTTATTTTTAGATCTGCCAATTCATCCCGATAATAAATTTTTAAGGAAGTTTTCATTTTTACTAAAAAGAAGTATATATATGTATATACTCATATTAATTTATATTGATGTAATTATTTTGGTGGTTATCTGGTGTCTGAATCTTTGAGAAATTTACCCATAATGCCATTACTGTCATAATGATTGCCATGGCAATCTGCCATATTCGTAGACCCGGAGGAAGACGAATATACAGCTGGTCACTGTGTCCCAAAATCTGACTCAACTACAAAATTCAGAAATCATTTAAATAATAGGTGAATTACTGCATGCAGAAATCCACATGCTTTAAATCAACAACACATTTTTTTACATGATAATATGCTTTAGAGCCAATGAAGAATTGAATTGAAATTAGATCTGGTATTACAATCTTCGAATGTATATAAATATTGTTTTCAACGAGCTATCAACTGCTGATTGACCATATAAGTCAGTGTATTTTGCAAGCATGTCCATATACTCTTTGTATTAAATTCTATTCTTTGTCAGATCTAATACTTGCTTATTTATTAGAGGCTGCAATACAGTACACTGTTAACTAGATGTAAATAAAATGCAGCTTGTTTTGATATGTTATCCACTACAAATGAGATAAACCGAAATCAGATTCTGATAGATATTACACAATTTGTAAATCTTGAGACTGCTATCTATTCAGCACGAAAAAAATTCTTTGAAAATACAAACAGTCTGTCTTGTTGTTAATTAGACTAAATCAAAAAAACATATGGACATCCTATATACATCATGGAGCCCTTCTTTGAAAACAAAAATGAAGAGATCCTGGTATGCAGTAGACAGCAAATTTCTCATGAGATAAAATATTGCTCCACTTTCTCAACAGAACATAGTTTTGTATTTAAGATGAAATGTTACAGCTCTCAAGAGCAAACCTGACACAAGTGTTTTGACAGAAAACTACATTAAAACACAGTTCAAGTATTGTAACCCATCACTTCAATGCCACATTACACTAAACAACTAAATGCTGTCTGTCTAAATGGATATCTATGGATGTTTGCAAAACCTCTACTTCACACTGTATAAATAGGACTGTCAATGAATTTTTCATATTTCACAAATTACTGATGGGATCCGAAGCTCAAAAACAAGAAGTGTGCATTTGCAAATCTGAACAGACATCAAGTAAATCACTATTTCAATTCAATTTTTATAAATAATTGATTTAATTAATAACACATATTTATAAATCCATAGTAAAAACTTTAAATCAAAAGCCTAAAAGGCTTCAATGGCATAATTAAAACATGAAAAACAATTTCAAAAGTTCTTTTTGAATTTGATATTAAATTTTAGTTTTAAATAAAATGGTACAATTATAGTTCTGGGGCCTTATGCCATGGTCCTATTAGAGCAGAGTTCAAATTGACCTGACATCATCGTACATGTATGTACATGATGAATATTTATTTTATTTCTTTTCAGTCAGTTGAAAACCTATGAAGAATTTAATGAATTTATATAATATATATTATTCTAATTGTCAATGTCTAAGCATTATTTAAGTGATTGCATCTAACTTACAGTCATGTCTCTGATATGACTACGAGTTACGATTAGGCGTGGTATACAGTATACTAGGAAATGGAGATATACAGTATTGGAGGTCATTAACTCTGGTTTTTATGATAAAATTGGTTATAAAATTGTGAAAATTAGCTTGAAGTTTTGAAATTCAATGTCTTTAGTCTTCTAGTATTCCTATTTATGTAATTTTGTGATTATTAGTATATTAGTATATTCAATGTAAGCATTTTCAAAGAAATTGATATATATATTGCTATTGCTATTTTCTTTTGCAGATGCATTGACTGACACCTTTGCTTGCTTGCATAAATTCCGGTGGCGATTTCGATGGGATGCTGGCTAGATGACATTTGAGGTCTGCTCGACGGCATAAATATCATCTCTAAAACAAGAGGCCCATGGGCCACATCGCTCACCTGAGCACATTGGTTAGGCAAAAGCACAATCAGTTCAGTATTGAAAAGACCGGGGGGGGGGGGGGGGGGGGGGGGGGGGGGGAATTTTAAACTACCTGATGATGCTTCCATGTCAATATAACAAATGGCTTTGTTGTACTTGAGAAGATTTTTTTTAAAAAATTCCCATATATTCCTTTGTAAAAATTTGATCCCTCATTGTGGCTCCTCCCTATCCCAGGGGTCATCATTTGAACAAACTTGAATCTACACTACCTGAGGATGCTTCCATATCAATATGACTAAACATAGCTTTTCTGTTCTTGAGAAGAAATATTTTTTCTATATGTTCTTATGTAAAACTTTCCTTCCCCCATTGGGCCCCATCCTACCCCTAGGGGTCATCATTTGAACAAAATTGAATCTACACTACCTGAGGATGCTTCCATATCAATATGACTAAACATAGCTTTTCTGTTCTTCAGAAGAAGATATTTTCCTTAATATTTCTATGTAAAACTTTGATCCTCCATTGTGGCTCCGCCCTACCCCCGGGGGTCATGGTATGAACAAACTTGAATTTACACTACCTGAGGATGCTTCCATATCAATATGACTAAACATAGCTTTTCTGTTCTTGAGAAGAAATATTTTTTCTATATGTTATGTAAAACTTTCCTTCCCCCATTGGGCCCCATCTTAACCCTGGGGGTCATCATTTGAACAGAATTGAATTTACACTACCTGAGGATGCTTCCATATCAAAATGACTAATCATGGTTTGCAGTTCTTCATCAGAAGATATTTTCCTTTATATTTCTATGTAAAACTTTGATCCTCCATTGTGGCCCCGCCCTACCCCCGGGGGTCAAGATTTGAACAAATTTGAATCTACACTACCTCAGGATGCTTCCATATAAATATGACTCATCATGGCTTTGCTGTTCTTGAGAAGAAGATTTTTAAAGATTTTTCCTATATATTTCTATGTAAAACTTTGATCCTCCATTGTGGCCCCGCCCTACCCCGGGGGTCATGATTTGAACAAACTTGAATCTACACTACCTCAGGATGCTTCCATATAAATATGACTCATCATGGCTTTGCTGTTCTTGAGAAGAAGATTTTTAAAGATTTTTCCTATATATTTCTATGTAAAACTCATATCCTCCATTGTGGCCCCACCCTACCCCCGGGGGTCATGATTTGAACAAACTTGAATCTACACTACCTGAGGATGCTTCCATATAAATATGACTCATCATGGCTTTGCTGTTCTTGAGAAGAAGATTTTTAAAGATTTTTCCTATATATTTCTATGTAAAACTTTGATCCTCCATTGCAGCCCCGCCCTACCCCCGGGGGTCATGATTTGAACAAACTTGAATGTACACTACCTAAGGATGCTTCCACATGAGTTTCATCTTTCCTCGCCCTATGGTTCTTGAGAAGAAGATTTTTAAATGATGCCATTATTTTTTCAATAATTCCTAATTATCTCCCCTTGAAAGAGGGCGTGGCCCTTCATTTGAACAAACTTGAATCCCCTTTACCCAAGGATACTTTGTGGCAAGTTTGGTTGAAATTGGCCCAGTGGTTCTTGAGAAGAAGTCGAATATGTGAAAAGTTTACAGACAGACAGACAGACGGATGCCGGACAAAATGTGATCAGAAAAGCTCACTTGAGCTTTCAGCTCAGGTGAGCTAATTACTACCATTGAATAATATAGCTAAATCCTGTTTTAAAAAAAACAGCTGTTATGGCTATTGTAAAAAAAAGCTGAATATTCAAAAATTCTAGAAACTAAATGTGAGGAAATAAATTTTTAATTTCTTCCTCCTATTTTTAAACTTTTTAATTGCGATTGTGATTGCAAAAATGCTTGTTGCTTTAACCAAAACTTAATTAGCTTAGCAATGACTTGAATACTAAGTATTGTGATTACCTTGCAGTTATCTAACTTACTGCCACTCTTTTGCAGGGAAGTTAAGGAAGCTTTAAATCTCGCAAGATTTCTGGGGCATGATATTGTTTACGCTAGTGACAATTGAATGATTTAAACAATCAGTATGCCCAAAGTACAATGTATTGTCAAGGGTTGAACTCCAAATAGCAGGTTGTCTAATTAGGAATATTTAGAGTATTTCATCAGATTCAAAAATTAATGATTATCAGAAAGAAATGGTTGAAGCGTCAGCTTTTAGTGAAAAGTATCAACTAAAATTTAACACATGAGGACTATAGCTCTTCTCAACTTTTATTAGCATTGTTCAGTAAATGTTCAGTAAGATATTTCACAAGGACTTCTTTCTTATCTATCAATGATCGGTCTCGCATTGTATTCAACAGTACATTGCCCCTAGCTAACAGACGTTTCCTACCTCCATTATGAAAGAGTTCTGTTAAGTAATCACGAAAACGTAGAAAGAGAAAGTTCAGGTACAGATACCCATCTTTATAACTGAACCCAGGAAAATCAGCTCAACCGCAATGTATGGATAAAGAAGCATCTGTAAACAATATTTGTACATATTCCTATATCTCTAATATTTCTACAGATCAATGATTCAATGTAAATGTTCTAGTGTTGAACAGGGTAGGTAATCAGTTGAGACTTTCCATATTCATATCCAATTGTCAACTCATCAACACAAATTGTGGGTTTTGCGTCCATTCTATTTCACAAACCCATGGCTGTCTACTACAAAATTTTGTTGTTCTCATAAACATTAATGGCACACATTCAACCAATATAACAAGTATCTGAAGCTTTGTTAGAAACCTTTATGGTCTCATGAAAAGGAGTGGTCTATCTGATAGTTGGATGTAACCATAATCACGAAGCTTGCATCAACTTCAGTTCAAATTCCCTTGTTTAAATGAGATAATATGTTATTCAAATAATATCTGCATTCCAAACCCTGTCTTTTAATGTTAAGCTTTGTAAGAACTTAAGAATATAGTTTACTTTCCTTTATTCTTTTTATCAATAAATATGCCACTCATATTAAACATGGTTTCATTATGGGTGCCGCCACATAAACATCCTTAAAATTACAGGTCAACAGTTTACATTTGAAACATTCATGATCATGCATGCCTAAATATGGATTAACATACATGTGACTACCCCTGGTTCATGACATACAAATGTTGTAAATTTTGAAATGTACAGTAAATCAATTTTACAATTTACCACATGAAGCATGAGCAGTGTTTTTTACCTTTGACCTGTGGACATCCCCATCATCTGTTTCTCCTACCCCCAGGAGTTTCCGAGTCTTCAGTCGACTGTGTAGGTCTCCACTGCTGTGCTTTCTGGAAAGAAGATATTCATTTTATTCCTTTCAGATTTGATGGTTCAAGAAGAAAAGACTTTTTTCTCCTCACTAACAAATTTAAAATTTGCACCATAATAAAACTTAGTATGTACATGTACTTGTATCTACAAAATCCTAAGCTTCATACTACTGTTATTTTGTAATTTGTGTTCAGTTACTGAGTAGCTTAGCAACTATACCAAATAAAAAACAAGAGGCCCAGGGGCCACATCGCTCACCTGAACACTCTGGCTAGAAAAAAGCAGAAATCAGTTTAGTCTTGAAAAGTTTAAATATAAAATTAAATATAAAACTGGTTCGGGGGGGGGGGGGGGGGGGGGGAGTTATTTGAACTAACTTGAATCTAAACTGTATAGGGATGCTTTTGAATTAATATGACAAATAATGGCTTTGCTGTTCTTAAGAAGAAAATTTTGATTGATATATCCTTTGTATGATCCCCTGTTATGGCCCCTCTATTCTCCAGGGGATCATGATTTGTACAAATTTGAATCTACATTACCTGATGATGCTTCCATTTAAATATGACTAATCATGGCTTTGCTGTTCTTGAGAAGAAGATTTTTAAAGATGTTCCCTATAAATTCCTATGTAAAACTTTGATCCCCCATTGTGGCCCCACCCTACCCCTGGGGGTCATGACTGGAACAAACTTGAATCTACACTACCTGAGGATGCTTCCATATAAATATGACCCATCATGGGTTTGCTGTTCTTAAGAAGAAGATTTTTAAAGATTTTTCCTATATATTCCTATGTAAAACTTTGATCGCTCATTGTGGCCCCACCCTTTACCCAGGGGTCATGATTTGAACAAACTTGAATCTAGACTACCTGAGGATGTTTCCATATAAATATGACCAATCATGGATTTGCTGTTCTTGAGAAGAGGTTTTTTTCCTATGAATTCCTATGAAAAACTTTGATCCCCCATTGTGGCCCCACCCTACCCCCGGGGGTCATGATTTGAAAAAAACTTGAATCTACACTACCTGAGGATGCTTCCATATTAGTATTATATTTTCAAGCACAGTGGTTTTTGAGAAGAAGATTTTTAAATGATGCCATTAATTTTTCATGAATTCATAATTATCTCTCCTTGGAAGAAAGCGTGGCCCTTCATTTGAACAAACTTGATTCCCCTTTACCCAAGGATACTCTGTGGCAAGTTTGGTTGAAATTGGCCCAGTGGTTCTTGAGAAGAAGATCAAAATGCAAAAAAGTTTATGACAACGATGACAACAACAACGACTACGACAACGACGACAGACAACGGACAAATTTCAATCAGAAAAGCTCACTTGAGCCTTTGGCTCAGGTGAGCTAACAATCGACTCTTTCTTGGCTAACAAAGTGAAGAATCATTCAAATATAGATGAATTGGATTGGATAAGTCAAAAGCATAAGAGCACTGCAAAACAAGACATTTTACTTCAACAAAAAAGCATCTTTCCACTGGTGGTCTGCTAGAGTATTCAACTCTTCTTTATAATAAAGCTAAACATTTTTCAAACTTTGCAATCTCTTGTAAATTTCAACAAACTGTCATGAAGTATAACAAAATTATCAATAAGGAATTGATATACAAGACTTCTAATGATCTGCTAGTTGTGTGCACAATTAAGGAACAAAGGGATTTGTGTAATCACCAATACTTTCACCATAACAGTTTCCTTACATGTAAAGTTTGCTTTTTTCTCTGTCTTTGCCATCGCGAAGTCAACTTGCAGTAGTGGCCACCTGATTTAAGAGGCAACCAATTTAAGAGACCACTTCACATCCTGCCAACAATTTTTACTCTTATTAAACTCAGCAGCAGCAACCTAGTGTCTATTGTTGCCAGCATCCACTTTTTTCTGACCAAGTTACAGACATATCCTTTTACAGGGCTAGACAAATAGCATTGCCCGACGCCCAGGACGACCACTTTTGTTTTTTGGGCAAGTTATTTGGTAAGTGGCGCCTGCCCGCGGACAAGTGCTTTTCCAATTATCAAAAAAAAAAAAACAACAACATTAATTTACTCAAATGTCTTTTGTGTTATCACTTTTTAAGTATCATTTATCACAGCAAAGCACCTGTTTTCACTCCTGTTGACCACTACATCGAATACTCGGTCAGAACTCCTCTAGAATTTACCCATGATTAACGTATTGTTAAGATATACAGAAGTCGTAAAACACGGTAGCTAGCCGATGTCGCCAAAAAAGTTGAATGGGATTTTAGACTTTTTGTTGTTGTCAAATATTAAATTCATACTGTGAATACAGACGAGTTAGTGGTATTAAAATTGACTGACTGGTGTTCCCTATCAATCACACAGCCAGGATGTAGATAGTTCAATCGACATGCAGTCTAGTGTTCACAGATTTGTAGTGTTTGTAGGTATTTTGAGACTGATCACTGTTCGTTATTTTTCACATTTTTCATCAAATAAATACACATTAATTTAAAAAAAAAAGAGGATCTTATTGAAGAATTTTGAGGAAGAAGGTTCCTTAAAATTAGCCCCAAAAATTTATCCGTGGGATTTTAGATCTAGGTTGGTCCTCGTGTAGTGTCAAGAAATAATTTTAATATTAATGCTTTAATTTTGTGTAATTTAAAAAAAAAAGTGGGACAAGCTTAGTTTTTGGTAGGACAAGTAATTTTACGATTGTAACCTGTCCGAGGGCAAGTACTGCAAATTTCTATTTGTCTAGCCCTGCCTTTTATCAAAATTATAGTCAGGATTGTTTGAGCATTTATCTTTTTTACCATAAATGAAAATTGTAAGTTTTCCAAGCATCAGTTGTATGCATTTTCTGAAAAGTGGAATTAAGGCAGTTGACATTCAGTTGACAGGGCTGTTCAAAAATTACGCGGACTTGTTGCACATAAAAAATGTTGACGACAAACACAAAAAGTTACATATTATAAAAGAATCTTTACCTTAGTGGTCAACAAAATTTCATTTCAAAATATTGTAAATTGATATCAGTGCTGAGTGATTACTAATAAAGTACCGATCATGAAGACAGTTTATTGGAGCAGTTAAAGTAAAATCTGTGACATTATGGGCATCATGAAAAAAATGTGCACTCTCATTTCCCTTTGTGTTTGAAACACAGCTTGTATCACCTTATCTTGAAGCATAAACATCTATATACCATTTCTGGTTCAGAAAACTTATACTTTGTTTATATGCAAAAAATTTACCCATATTTAGTCATGAGCAAATTTGCTCCTGTGTGCGAAAGTAAATTTACTATGCGTTCCATGAATTTATGTATTGTAAGTAAATATGTATGTCATCTAAAATTTTATTAATTTTTTTATCATTTCCATAAAAATGGCCTAATATTAGAGAAAGAGAATCCTTTCATATGTAAAAAGCATTGGGATTACAGTAGGAACAGATGATTCATTGAGCATAAAATTAAAAGAAAACCACAATCAAACATCTAGTTCAAGATGACAGTTCTTTAAAATTAAATGATGAACAATGGTTGGAGAATTAAGAATTAAGAAAGGGACTGATCTTTTCATCCACAGAAGGCTTACTGAAATGCTTTTTCCACCAAGAAACACAGTTACATGAATCATTTCAGGGTTAGCACATAATATTTGCTTCTGCATACTGTAAAAGCAGAGATATTTGTTGGGGATTAAATTTTTAATATTTCATTGTTTAAACAATTATCAACAAAATAAAATCCCACACAAAATTTTTTATATGAATATATATTGAATAGGGTAACTTTCGAAACAACGAAATTTAATGCCAACGAAACCTTTTTAGATGACAATTCAACGAAATTTTATCCCCATGAAAATTTGCACTTCTACAGTATTAGTAAACAGATTTGTACCTCCCCCTGTGTAATTTTGCTTACAGGATCTGTATTCTTGTACAGTATATATGTAAATGCATTTATAAAGCAAAATAACGCTTATATATATATTAGAAATTACAGTTGTATGGGTATATTCACAAATATGCAAATTATCTGCTTGTGAGTAAAGCCATATAAATAAGTTATATGTAACTATACATATTTTAGTATTTTAAATTTAGGTTGTTTTTATATTTCAAAACTGCAGATATTTCTAAAATATTGTGTGATGTCGTTGGCTTTCTCGATCAAGGAACTTAAGAGATTATTATAGGAAATCATTGATAAATAATAATTCTAAAATGAAATACTTTTGAGATTATCATGGGAAAAATTTAGTATCCTGATGGAAAATATAAATGATTAATATTACGCTATGAAAAAAATAAAATAAATTAATAAAAGCCCATTTCCCATCTCATCTCAAACTTAACAGTCACTTTATAAAATTTTAAAAGCATTATATTTCTTCTATTCTGCATGGCGATAAAATTGCAGAATGTGATATGCCTCCATGTTCACTATCATATTTGCTTTGAAGATATCATATTGAAAGTTAATTTTATGTACAAATTGCCATCTACATCTGTTCGTCTTCAGTTTGCCTTTACTTTTAGCATGCTAAGCAACATTTATTCTATTTGGGATACTCACTGCATGATGCTATATTTTTAACTGACAGAGGTATTATAAAGATTGTTAAGCAATATGAGATGATGTTACCCATTTATTCACAGTATTTTGATTCATGTAAGTGATTACTCATTTGTCTGAAATTTTTGTTTGTTCCAATTTCTTCTCCCTCCCTTGTAAGTATAATATTTTAATCTAATGACTGTTAAACATAAAATTAATATCAAACACCCTTAACCAGTTATCAAAAGTCACCCATGGTGGCCCATTTAGCTGGGTTCCCCTTGGGCCCCCTGAAGACATATTTGATGTATACTGACAGCACATTATAATAAACTGATAATGCTAATCAATAATGAGGAAAAATAGGGTCCATTTACTTCATCAGCAGAGAAGGCAAAAAATTTTATATTATCAAGCCAGAAAGTTCTGATACACCAAACAAGCTTTGTCTACGACAGGGATTGTT